GCCACTTATAAGGGTCGATATTCAATCAGGAAGTGATCAGTGTCTGTCAATATCCATTTGCATCATACGCATCCTTACATCTTATCCAAATATGTTATTAATTAATGAAATATAATAGCATAATCTTTGGATTTGCAGAGTTGTATGACATTTGATAAGTGTAAAGGTTGCTGTAGCTGTTGACATTTTGGAGGAAATAATGATGAAAAAATGTTTAAAGAGAGACAAAAAAAATTTTAGAATTTCAATTTTAGAATATTTTTGGCTCGTGTTATTCCTTGTCATGTCTATTTTCTAAAAATCACAAAAGTATACTTTATTCAAGGAAAACTAAAGATTTTTAAAATAATATATCAAAGCATTTTCACCCATTTTTGCACCTTGAATCATAAATAACCTCAAGAATCTATAACATATTGTGAATCTTTTGGGAGATATTGTTTTTGATCTTGTAAGGAATAGATTGGTAGGTCAATTATACAAGTTGCTTGTAATTTTGTCACCCCCTATAGATCTGATTCTGCCTTTAATCTTCTAATTTAAAATATGACCTAAATCGATTGCAAACTTCATATTTGTACATTTGCTGAGATATATAATTTGTGTCATATTGTGAAATTATTTAATTTGCAATCGATTTAGGTCAACGTTTTTTTGGAATATTTGTGATAATCAATGGAACCCAATGGCTTGTATTGGGATATGATGAAATCCTCATATTAAGTTAATGGAGCACATCCCATGTCAAGTCAATACACCCTTGCTGAACTGAATGACCTCAACCTCAGCCCATGTGAGTCCAAACGTTTAAATATTTTCCGAAGTGTTATGTGACATTGTATTTTCCATGTTACACCTGACAATGATCCATTCTGACCATGGGGATAGTTGCCCATAATTGCACTATGTCCTTTGTTTCATTGTAATTGTCTGTGTTTTGTTATTAATCAGTATAAACGATACACGGAACACGGGCTGTCCATAAAGTCTCTTTCAATACAAAATGTATGTAAAGTTTCAAGATACTTTATCGACACCCTGTAATTCCAGGGATAAGCATGCTATATATCTAGCATTCAAATGTTAAGGTCCTTTTATAAACTGACAGTTTGTCTGTCTGTGTTTAGTTCAAACATCCAAGTGACTGTCATACTATTGTATGCAAACAGAAAATGTCATTTGACGATGAAAACTTGATTGATACGATCCTGTTCTGAACATTCGCTTGATTCGATTGATCTTGAGATACAATTCTATATTGTTTATTCCCTTGCGATTGACATTAGCTTAAAGCCCCCATATCAAATTTAAAACACTTTGTCTTATATTTAGGCCATCAGCTTCACCCCAAAATTTAGGTTATCGGTATCAAATCAGGGGAATAATCGCCATAGTGATTTTTGGGAAGGTTAAGACCTCTAGAGTAAGAAACTATGTGATAGCATTGCAACAATTGTAGCTAAATGGGTGTTATCACCCATTTTTCAAAATGGCCGCCGGTGCACATGTTACAATATAAGAGTGAGTATACCTAAGCACACTGAGATGCAGAAACTGTGATTTTAGGGTCTATATTAAGGTTTAAGGGGTCAAGGATTTCATTTATGCCAAAATCTAAGTCATCAAGCAATTAGTTCTTATAGAAATCCAAGATGGCCACCAAAATGGGTGCCAAAATGAACACCTGTATGTAACCATTGATTTAAGCTCGAAGAACAGTTAAGAACAGTGATTTTGGAGATCATGTCATAGTTCTAGAGTCAAGGACTTCATTTATGTCTAAATCAGAGTCTTCAAATAATTACCTTTTCATAGAAATACAAGATGGCCACCAAAATGGATGCCAAACCAAATATGTGACTATTGATTTAAGCTCAATGAACAGTGATTTTGGAGATCGTGTCATGGTTTTAAGGTTTAAGGATTTCATTTATGTCTAAATCTTTAGTAATCAAATAATTTCTTTATATAGAAATCCAAGATGGCTTCCAAAATGGGTGCTGAAATGAATATGTAACTATTGATTTAATAAGCTAAAAGAACAGTTAAGAACAGTAATTTTGGAGACTCTGTCTATTTTGTAGGGGCCAAGGATTTCACTTATGTCTAAATCTATAAGTAATCAAATAATTACTTTTTATAGAAATCCAAGATGGCCACCAAAATGGGTGCTGAAATGAATATGTAACTATTGATTTAAGCTCAAAGAACAGTGATTTTGGAGATCATGTCTTGGTTTTATGGGTCAAGAATTTCAATTTTGTCTATAATTAAGGCATTCCTTTATTTTGATATCCAAGATGGCCACCAAAATGGCTGTAGTCACGATTTTGAGGACTGATTAAAATGTTTATTTTCATCAAACTCTTTCTGGTGTATGATACACTTGTCTTTGAGGAATTTCTTGTGCTTGATCTTCTCCATCCAATAATCTACTTCTTCCTATGGGCAGTCAACTTCTTTCTATCGTCAATGTTTATGATACTGAGCCACCACAAAACTAAGGAAAAGGAAGGCAACTTACAGTAACATTGCTAATGCGATGATTATACCTAAGATTTTATTACGCAAATGTTTATGTTATTGTTTTTTTTTATTTGACCTTTTATAATATTAACACTTTGGCATCCATCTTTAATTCTGATATTAATCACAGATTGTTTCATGGAATAGCTCTATATAACTGAAATTCTTGACCTCCTTAAAGTAAACATTGCTTACAAAATTATTGTTCTTGGTGATCTATGTGGTTAACTGGATAGTTATACGAATTCATTTTGGCAGCCATTTTGGAGGCCATCTTGCATATCCATATAAATAAAATGTTTGTTAATTTTATTAAAGACAAAATTAAAATCATTGACCACACAAACTTAAAATATCAAAAATTAATGTTCTAACTCCTCTATATGTTAAGATAATAAATCTTATTTTCACTTCGGCAGCAATGTTGGAAGTCATCTTGGATCCAAATGAAGGAATTATTTTTAGTTTTAGACGTAACTGAAATTCTTTACGCCAAAATTCTTGACATGGTCACAAATTGCTGTTATAAACTTCTTTGAGCTTAAATCAACATTTGCTTGTTATTGCAAGCACCCATTTTGGTGACCATCTTGGATTTCTATGAAAAGCAATTATTTGGTTGACTGACTGAAACCCTTGACCCCTAAGACCTAGACATTGTCTCCACAATCACTGTTCTCAACTGATCTTTGAGCTTAAATCAATCAGTTAAATATTCATTTTGACACCCATTTTGGTGGCCATCTTTGTTTCCTATATAAAGTAATTGTTTGATGACTTAGATTTAGACATAAATAAAATCAGCAGACATGTGCTCCAAAATCACTGTTCTTAACTGTTCTTTGAGCTTAAATCAATAGTTGATTATCCATTTTGGCACCCATTTTGGTGGCCATCTTGGAATTTTTATTTAAAGTAATTGTTTGATGACTTAGATTTAGACATAAGTCAAATCCTTGACCCTTAAAACCTAGATATGGTCTCCAAAATCACTGTTCTTAACTGTTCTTGGAGCTTAAATCAATAGTTACATATTCGATTTGGCACCCATTTTGGTGGCCATCTTGGAATTTTTATTTAAAGTAATTGTTTGATGACTTAGATAACTGACTTAAACTGTTACAATGCTATCACATATTTTCTTACTCTAGAGGTCTTAACCTTCCCAAAAATCACTATGGCGATTATTCCCCTAATTTGATACCGACCAACCCCCCCGGCTGATGGCCTAATTGTAGTTTTACTAAATCTTTACTAAATCTTTTTTGCCACCTAAGTGAGTCATCGATGACATCACTCAGGTTGTAAGCTATTTTTGATATGCTAAAACATTGAAGTGGGACATTAGATATGGTATTTTATTACTGAAATAGTGTGTCCTTTGTTCAATCTTTCCATAGGTGTTAAAAGGATAATCTTTTTTGAAATGTATGGTTTAATCTTTGATGATTCAAAAATTTCAACTTTTTGGGAAAATGGCGGGAAATTTGAATATTTGAGAAATGAAAAGCTGACACCTTTTTTCAAATTTATTTTTCAAAATATCTCTTAAATAAAACAACTTTTAAAGTCATGACATATAGTAAATGAATGATAAAAACATATTTTCAAACATTACACAGGGACTTTAAGTTCTCTAACAACGTATGCATATATAATCCGTATGGGTGAACATTGTGAATATTGTGAACATATTTAATTACATGACTTCAAATCAAAGCAATTGACATAGAACGACAAATATTATTCAGCTAGATATGTCAGTATAAAAACATAAAAGATATATTAAAATAAATTACATTCTATATTTTGTACAAGATAAAAACCACAACATAAACTAATATAATGTAATTATAACTAAGCTAACCCAAAGCTCCAAGAAAGTAATGTCCAAATTAAAACGTTTTTTGTTACTATTCGTGAGACTGTCAGACACTAAACTATTTTAATTTTCACTTGTCATTGTATGCTGGGCATAAAGATATAGTTTTCATAATATATATTTTCAGTCAAACGAGTACAACGTGATGAGAGATCCGTTAAAAATGATAGTTTAGGAAAATCTATATACAAGTATATCTCCAATCCATTGAGTCGACAATTATGATCGATTGAGTCACCATATGAATAAACAACGTGACTAATTACAAATTTTGCGCAAAAACATGTAGTACGAGTATATACCGAATATACGAGGTTATGTCACTATCGTGGCATATGTATAATGCCCGAGGTTTTCATAGGTCAATGGTCCTCCCAAGGTCGGGTCACTTATTACTATGAACCCCGGGTATGCCAAGGTAGTGACATAACCTCTAAATACGAACCAGTACATTAAATAGGTTTTAAAGCGGTGCTATTGAATAAGTTCTTAGAAAATAGCAACAAATGTACACGAATTAAAAAGACAGAAAACGGTGCACTTGAAAGACTTATGTAAACATGATTTAATAAAATAGTATCTTACCCAAAATAATAGATACACATACATGATAAAAATCCTGTCATTCGAAATGTTCACATTGAAGGAGCAATTAACAATATCCTTGAATATTTTCATTACTAGTATTTCTTTAACTGCCATACACTAAACAAAAGTGACTTCACTTATTGTCATTCATGTTTTGGTATTCAAATATTTAAAAATCATATACAGAAATCTAATGGAGGCTTCTAATTTGAATTTGTGATTTCAGAATGGCCTTCACAAGTTCACAACAACCCTTTTTACATTATCAGGGTATGAGAAGATGTAAAACCTGCCATAATTTCAGTATAATTTGTTCAGTCTTCTAGATTCTTTTGAAAAATCACGACAGAACATTAACTTCCACAAAATCCTACGTCTCAATGAATAACAAGTATTATACAGTACCTAGCTTTTCTCTGTTAAAGTAAGATGTAAAAATATTTGCGCATACATTTTCTTTTAATGTTACACATGCGAATCACTCTCGAGAGTCTTAAGAACGGAAGTTATGTCGATATTGTCATTTATTTCCTGGGATCATATCTTGATCATATGTACATACTGGCACCAGAGCAGCAGTATGCAGGTTGCGGCAGATTATAACCAGTTAAACAACACACGTTGCAGTTTAACATGTCGCACCAAAAGTGGTAACTGGAAGACAATAAGAGAATTAAAAATAAAAATATACTTTCACAAATTTAGAAAGCTAAATCAAAAATTTCTTCAGATCTGGAGTAAAATGTTGAAAAATTGACAAATGCAAAATTAGGTCACCATGACCTACTTTCACTAGACTGTGAACTGATGCACCTTTTCCCTTTCCACATTTTCGAAATCAGTGAATATCAATTCGTAACTTTGTAGGTTGGCAAAGTAGTTGTTGGCTGTTTTAGTTCGAATCTGGGAAAAGTCTAAGCAGTAAGTCTGCAAGGAAGAATAGCATTACTTACTACATGAGAGAATCGAACATTTCCTTTATTGTGTCGAAATTCTTACAGTGACGCCCGGTGCAGGTCTTTTCTAATATCGTAGCAGGTGGGGCAACTTTTACAAAGCAGCTCGCTTCTCGGGGAATGTCAGCCTGAAGAGCATCAGAGTCCTCTCCAATTGCAAAAGTATCTCCCTCAGTAACAGCGAAACCATCGTCATCGGAGTTGTCATCAGTGTTCACATCAGGTCGGACACTCGTTTTACATTTGCAGAAGGGAAAAACCCGTGAGCGTTCACAAGCCTTGCAGTTTCTCAACGAACAGCAAAATATACCCCTGCAGTTTTGAAAGAATGAAATCTTAGGTTTGAACAAATCACATATGCATCGAATCATGTTTGAGAATTGACACTTGGAAAACGACTAAATGGTAAACTATATGGCCTAACTTGAACAGAGCTCACATGAGAATACATAGCGGTCTTGTTTTCCAACGTTCCCTGTTCTCGAGATCTTACAGAAAGTTTTATGAACAAGTGTAAGTTAGCAGATCTCCAAATCGTCACCTTTGCTCTTCGGCGGGGGTATGGGGGCCATACCTTCACAAAATCGATATAGCAACCTACATCGTATTGCCTATCCCTATATTTCATGCTGCATATGTTTCTCGAACTGGGGAAGCTATGGCCGCCGTACGCTTACCGTAGATCAATTTTGTCAGATTCATTAGTTTTGAAGGCATATACTTACAAATCAACATAGTTCGGCAAATCTATTGCTTTTGTATTTGACACATATTCCCTGTGCTTACATATGTTAGACTTCAGTTTTTGGACACCGATTAAATCAGCTTTCGTAACTTTAATGCTGGAGAATTTGGATTTAGATTGGAGCCTATCACCTCGGTCGGCAGCAGCAGAGCAAGGGCAGCATGAACAAAAGGGATGTCTGTTCAAGTAACAGCATTGAGCCTTACAGCTCTTCTGGGCACAACATGCGTCATATCTTAAACAGAACAATTGATAATATCGACGTGCCTTTGAATTGGACAAATCAAGGTCAATTATTTTAAGTACAACAGGCATCAAATCTAAAACAGGTGAATTAAATCTATATTTGAATTGAAATACCATCAACTAAAAAGCTTTTTTATTGGGACTTAACGAGCTACTTATGTCGTCGGCGAAACAATTAATTACATATTTAGCAAACATTTATCAAAATATAACGTTTATTGAACAAAATGATTAATACCTCTAATACAGATAGGTAATCTAGATCAACGCCTTATATTAATACCTTGAGCTTTTCATGGAATAACTGGACTTATGCCTACCTAATTGTCAATCGAGTCGAAGATATCGAGTCGAATGCACCAAGTAAAGAGCTTGGTTTACATGGAATTTACCATTTTTTAAATTCATTAAAGACATCAATTTTGACCTATCGTAACGGAGATTAAATTGAAAATTTTCTGAAATATAGAGAATAGAGTCAATGCATATCAATATCCATTTACATTATCAGTTTTTCTTTCGTTTCAGGCTAAGAAAAATAGAGTTCAGGGGGGGTCTTTAACTTTTTTGAGTAGTATATTTTGCAGGAAATTGCTAAACTACTTACTGCATGTCAATGTAGTTAGCAATTGGAGTAACGCCCATGCTTTTCGGCCTGTCATCGAAATCCTCCTCCTCCCCCTCCTTGCAGAAAGGCCATCTCTCTTTAGAAAGGCATATTTTGAATTTAAATATATGACAGCAAAGTGAAGCGCTGGAAAACAAGATTCGCAAAATTATGATTTGAAATACCTTTATGTTCTTTTATAAACGATAATTCTCTAAATTGTATTTGCTTGTCTCAGTAAACTTTTCATATTGGGCGATTTAATTTCTTTCTCCAGTAAAGAAATTGCCGAATTCACAATTTTGAACTCTACTAATAGTTCGGTCGATTTGCCCATTTGTTTAATATAAGGAAAGTATTAAACTTGGACCGATGACAAACCCTCGACATACATTTTACTCTTTCAGTGATTTTTTCAATATTGAAATTAGGTGCAACACCGAGTTTCAGTCAAGATAATCATCCACATGATGATCACTGACATCATTAATATCTTTGTCACGGTTACTAGCCAGACTTCAAAACCCGTGCGTATTTGAGGATCCACGTTCAACTGAACAGATCGCCGAGCTTGCTACATAATATACAGTCCCGTGCCTAATAGCCATGAAACCGCCGAGCAAGCTCATCTTCTCACATGATATCACGAAGTCTGGTAAATACCACTGTTTGTGGAGCTTATTGTTAATAACTTGTGGAAGTGTCATTCACCCAGTGAATCAATTTATTTATGAGAAACAATAACAACCCGGTATGGGAAATAATTTATTTGAAAATATATGTCAATATCTCGCAAGTGTTTCGCCAGACTCTGCAAGTTAATATATCTCTGATATTATAATCTAATATAATCTTGTGTTGTCTTTCATAAATTATCTTTAACTATATATAGGATACTGTTTAAAGCTAACATAGCTTTTTAACAACATTTGTGCTTACAAATTCTTCACAGGCTCATCCAACGTCGCTTCTGAATTGGGATCAATGAAATTGAGAGTCTTTGAAACTTTCAACCAGCATCTATTCTTCGTCGCCTTCCGACCTATTTTCCTTTTACGATCATCGGCACAGTCATAGCAAAATGGATGACTTCCCTTGGTGCAACAGCCTTCTTTGAAGGTGAATCCACGGATTTCACAACACTTCTGACTCCTACAATGGGATGCTTTTGTTCATTTCTTTCACATATACATACTAGTATATATCTTTCAAAAGGCATGGATAAGGTTGAGCTCAGGAAATCTTATAATACATTTTAGGTAATATTTTAAGCGGAGACAATTCGTTGGCACATTTACATTTGAATCTGAAATACAGACGGAGTGATTAAACTGATCACTGGTGGAGTGTTTGTTGGGATAGTTAATTCACACATAGCTAGGCAAGGTTTTTGTCCGATTCCAGCCAATCTGAACAAAGTATTTCGTATAACTGCAGTGTATTATATTACCAATCACCACACTCAAGGTCATTTATTGAATGGTTATAAAGGTGACAACTAGAATCTAAAGATTGAAATTGATGCTTTGCCAACTTGCGCCTTGCAAAAAGTTACATTCAGCACATAATATAATGCAATGAGTCCAGGGCTTAAATTCTTAAACCATACATACACGTCGATCCATTCCCATTGCTTGCTTCTTCTTCTATTTGGCTTTGAGTAACAAAATTTGTTTTTACTGTTTTCATGTAGCATCTGTATTGCTGCATTGAAACTATCTCCTTTTAAAAGACCTACAGATCCAACGATTTCAATAGGAGTGTATTTGTATAGAGATCCCGTCTCTAGATCCAGTTTCCCCCTAATGGTCGTAATGAGACGCGGCCCACATTTGCAAAAAGGAACAGTGTTCGTATAATGACATACTAAGTTTTCTCCAGTACAGGCGTTTAACGTTTTCATCCTGTCACAGCAGAATTTTTGTCTGAAAAGTACAATGCAAGAAAAATACTACACAGATTCAGGTACAAATATTCATATAATATGATAATATCTACAATGTGTTAGTATTCCTGAATCCAAATATCTGTTATTTCATAGCGGGGACAGACAAGTCATTATTATAATTTTACTTCAATTACAGCTTTTCAGAATGGTGGCCAAATTCTGTAAATGAATCATTTTTTTCTTTAGTTGTAAAACATGGGGGACAACCTTCGTATCTTGAATTGTGCGAATTTTCTTCTCCTAACTACTCTTGAAGTAATTGAATCTCACTTACATATTGATGATAGGATCAACCCAATTCCTTGTGAGCCACATAAGGCAGTTATCGTCGGCCGTTGATCGGGTCATTCTACAAGTCGATTCGCCATTTTTTGGAAGACATGCGTCAGTGATTATTCCAAATTCCTCATTGACCTCACAGCATCGACAGTACCCTTCCGTTCCACGGCAACATCTACCAGTCGCACATTTGGCACCAATTGCCAAACAACAAATATCAGACCTAAGAGAGATGATGACGTTTCATATCGTACCATATCCTATCATATCATATGAATATATTGAATATATATTATATTGAATATTTTGCCAAGAAAAATCGTTCGGTGTTGGTATTGTTTCACTACGGAGAAGCTAATTTATACAGAAGTCAGTGGAGTATGTTCGGAGGAAGGGTGTCCACTTGAGACAAGTGTTCACTAGACAGAGGTATTCACTAAAACAGGTTTTAATGTAATCAAAATCGTTGTGGCTCGTGTTTGTTAGTTCTAATCTTTGTATTGCTCTAAATACTTGTATAGAATAGAACAAAAGTAGCAATGAAAATGGAAAATAACAAAAGAATCCCGTAGTAGGATGAGCCAAATGATTTCTTGGATTGTGAATATTGCTGGCCTTGACGATGTGTATCTTTTAAATGGGAACGGGAATGTATAATATTCTCCTGAGGCAAGTGTATAACGAAAATGTTTAATGGATGTCTAGTCCAATCAACTCATTCAACATTGAATATCGTATTCTGAAGGAGCATGGACCTTAAAGATAATTATGTATTCATGTTTTCAAGAGATTAGAATCAGAATCTTCACGACATTTTTGCGAACGAATAAATCTGTTGGCCTTGAAATTTGCGTATATTGAAGTTGATGGTGTAAATGATGCCATAAAATTAACAGCACTAGTGAAGTTCGATGAATTATACAAAAATATGTATTTTGATCTAAGAATCAATTTGATAAATTAAGACATTAAGATATATAATCAGTTAAGCTTTTTAATTGAGTGAATGAAATGTGCAACATCTCACTTCAAAAAGACAAAAATCGTAAAGGAGTGGTATTTTGTTAATGAAATAAAAGGTTTATCTTGATTTTTATCTATTTTGGGGACAGACCAAAACCAAACATTCCTTTGTATAACTATAATATTAAGAGGTCTAAAAACATGTTAATAATAAAGACATTTTATTTCATTCTCGAAAATTGGTAGAAAGGAGCAAAAACAATTCCACTAAAAAAACAAAAAATGTTTTAAAAAAACAGTTATATAAAATATTTCTAAATAATTTTCGCATTAAAGTGTTGTCAATCAGTCAGCATTACATAAGATACCGTGTTTTTTACAGAATGTTTTCAGTGATTGGTTTAAGAGAAAAATATTGTTGAATTCAGTTCACCATATCGATACCACTTTTATTATATACCAGTGCATACTTGTATATTAATACTTCAAAATACAAGGTGGGCCAAAAAACGTGCTAACTCCATGGTATTTTCTGTATCGTGAGGTAGTAACTGTCGAAAACAAGATTTTGCTATGTTTTGAGCCTATTGCATACTATCAGGTCTTTACATATTACAAAGAAAAAGTATTGGAGTTAAGTTTTATTGTTTGTAAGATAATCATGGACCTTATTTTTATGCATTGTAGTTGAAGTTAGATTGTTAGATACATTGATATTTGCTTCAGGTTTTTCAAAGAAACTCAGTTGAAATTTTGCCATGTCCCACGATATGGAATTACATTTCCATTATTTCCTCTTCTGATGCCTATAATTGCACTGTGTGCCATTTAAAATGTCAATTAAGTGATGTTATATAAGTACAACACAATTATTGCCCAGCTCGTGATAATCTGAAAAATGTCTTAAAAATCAGTAAATATTCAACTATTTGATACAGACTTCACTTCATTATTTAGGCTAAATTACCGATACCAACTATCAAAATGGTAAAATAACTAACTGTATCGCATTTGTCAATCAATTTTCTTTCATTTGATATATAAATTAACAATTTTGACCTTCTTGAAGTATAATTATATTCATAATACTGACACAGGGGTGATATCTGTCTGATCAGTCCTTAGAATTCTGTATTCAGCCATTGATAAATCATGATTTTGACCCCTGGTTATCGAAATGATAGTGTAAGACAAATACTCAATTATACTATGGACATATATCATCTTATTGGAAATTAAATTGTCTTTCCAATGATATATAGTTTGTATATTTGTCTAAAATATCAACAACGTTGTAGCAAAACAAAAATGTGGACATTTTTTGGCCCACCCTGCACATATTTACTCACAAATCGATTGATCTTCCCATAGGTGTTTTACATACGTAAGGTGCAACTACTGCCTCCACTCCTGTGCAGGTTTCATGACGAAGTATTAGTATAAAACAGGCGATAAATAGAATAACCTGAAAATATATATAATATATAAGGGTTATGTACTGGGAGGTTTTGGATATGGGGTATATCCAGAGGGAGATATGCATATCTACCTGAGGGACCGTAGGGACCGAAGGTAGATGTGCATATCTTACGAGGGATGAACCCAATATTCAAACCGACCGTACATAACTGCTTTATCCTATACCAAGTAGAGTTTTCAGGGGCATATGGCCATTTTAATAGTACAAGGTGTAGAAACAAATCATTCATATGCAAAGTCATTTTATTGCATTTCTAATACTTACCGGAAGCGGGAAGATATGCACCGAAGCGGGAGATATGGCGGGAGATATGGAGGTTCTGGATATAGAAACCTCAAAATCAGGATACGAGATATATCTTACCAACTTATCTCCCTAAAACTTTACTTGGCATAGGATAAATTCACCTACTTTGTAATGACTGATGTATTTTATATTGCAAAGTGGAACAAATGGTATTTGCAATGGTATTATTTGAAACTAATTCATTTGAAATAGCATAAAGTGTGATATGTGAAACTTTTTTTTATTTCAAAAAGTGGTTTTTGAAGGACTTTTTGTTCAAAAAATCGTGAATTTATTTAAAACTAACTTTTAAATAAACGATAATTTACACCAATACATAGCATTCATCCGCACGTATTTATGCCGAAAAAATAAGAAATTGGTACATAAATAAGCAAAAATGTAATCATTGATGCATAAAAATATTTCAGAGACAATCAACAATTCAATTCAATTTTTCAAAAACTTTTTGCCACCTGAGTGATGTCACGATGGGGTCTCTTCGGTTGCAAAATATTTTTAACATGCTAAAACATTGACGTGGCACATTAGATTTGACATTTTATGGAATAGTGTGCCATTAACTCACATGGTGAGCTTTTGCAATCACTCATTTATTCTGTCTTCGCATTGCTATTGGTGTTAAAAAGATAATGTTTTTTGCACAATATAGTGGGATATTTAATGATTAAAAATGTAATGAAAAGTTGACAACTTTTTTCAAAATATTTTTATTAAAATGAATAAATGAATGGTAAAAACTTATTTTCAAACTTTACATGGGGACTTTAAGAACTCATCGGGAACTTATTTTGAAATTTGGAACATGTACATGAACATCGCATTTCATTGGTCAATCAATGAAGAGTATCAAATCATATCTTCTCACAAAATTAAATCAATTTCTATTAATTTAAAGCTAAATTACTTACGAATTTCATTTTATTGAGATATATAATCCTGGTTGATTCCATGCTATTTTAATAACTCCTACATTATAGTTGTTTTCAAGATTGTCATCACAAAAGCATACATTTTTATGCAAATTCCCAAGCTATTTTCTGATCAAACAATTATTTATAACTATTTATAACTATAATGGTAATAGGTGGGTGGAAGTGTATTTATGGAGCTGAATGTGTTATATATATATATAGATAGAGAGAAGTGTCTCCACCTATCACATAATCATATAAAATATAAACAAGAAAGAAAATGAAAATGATTCTAATCGATACGATTAATGGGATATTCTATCGGTATTTATATCTGTAATTTGTTTTTAAGTACTTTAATTTGTAGGGTCGACTTGTGTGTTTGTAGGTAAGGTAGCTTAACAAGCTGTCAATATGTGCCTTATGTTAAATATGTTTAAGTAGTCAATGGCTGTGAGTGTATCTAAAATAACAGAAATATGACATGCAAAGATAATTGGGACAAAAGGATCATTAATACGAGGGGTGATTCAAAAGTAATAAATTTTATAGGCATACCTAACGTCACTCAATCAGTCTAATCTTTTCACAGACTTAAATAGCCCATTCAATTATCTACTAGGTATCCTTATTTAACTGCATTCAATATTATTTCAGGTATGCGTAACCATGGTAACTAGGTAAGCATAGGCGGAATCCACTTTTGAATGATAATTGAATATTGTTATCATTTCTGTTTGATTTCATGTTTATGACTCAACACACATGTTGGATCTATAAAATGCAAAATCATTCCATATGTCCATTCATATGCTGGTGAGTTCTAAATTCAGCAGCAAATTGTGCTGTATCACAGTAAATTTTTTTAGAACAGTGAGTCACAGAGAGTCGGAAAGTGAGTCAGACTCTAAGATTCACACGCATCCAAGAAATGTATCGTAGTACCGGTAAAACAAAGAATTGTTAGAGTATAATTGGTAGCAACTGGAGACACAAGGAAGGCTGTTGTAATAAAAATTAAAGATACACATGGAAATATAAGGCCTTTTCAAGGCAATCTTTTAGAGATTGTACAAGTTTAGTGGAGGTGATGAGAGGGTACTGAATCCTTTAGCGATCTGGAAGACCAAAGACGGGTCACCCTGATCACCTTGTGGATGACATCTTAAATGCAGTCAGGTGATTGACACTAAGGGCAATAAGTACCATTACATATGATTTAAATATAAAAATAGAATGTAAATGGATGATCAGGAATGATGTGAAATTATGGTTGAACATATTTTGCTACCATAAATATTGCAGAATGTATTTAACCAGCTAACTTTTCATGAAAATTCATGTTATTGAAGCGAGGGGCTTCCCTTTTCTTGGGATAACTTAAAGCTCTCCGTAATAAAGTAAAGTAAGTGAAAAACATCTTGAAATAATCTTAAAACGTTTTGATTACTTTGATATGATTTATTGATCTGTACAAAATAAATCAAAAAATCGTATGACATCCATAGAATTAAAAACGTTTAGTAGACTACAAAAGGATGGCAGTGCGATCGTTTTGTTTTGATATCCTTCTTTGACAAAACGAGCACACTACCATCTTTCTATCCTGTTAGTTTTATTTTATGCATTGCATTCTTCACAGATACATTGCACTTGTATACGAATAACAAACCCTTTGAAAGGGAGGGGGTTGAACATGGTTTATCTGTTCGTTCGATCATTACTTTGGATATTGATACAATTTCTCATCGTTCCTTTTTCTAACTGCGTTTATTTTTAGCTTGCATCACTCAATTTGGCACTTATGCTATAATATCCATAGGTTCTGGGCCGATATAAAGATGGCAGCACAAAAAGAAGTCAAGTATTATCTCAGATAAACATAGATAAACACAGATCGATTACCATGCCATCTTTATTTAAAATTAATATTTCTATCGACCTTTGCCTATGATAATATCCATTCGTTCAACTTCACTACTTTCAGTTAAATCTCTATCTGCGCTCAGGGTACACAATACGCTTACATATCGTCCAAAATGAACGTTATCATGAGTGACAGTCGAGATCTGTGTCAATGCATCGGTTTTGAGAAACAGAATAAACTTGGGAAACTAACTATATTACTGAGACCATCATTATGTTAGGTCTCAGCTATATTAGCAGAACAATACGATTTATTAAGTGACTTGTTGTCCCAGACATTTCCTTTCTATCGAAGACGCACCTTTCTCCTCTAGTTATAAATGGACCCTCTACTTTATTAGCAATGTAAACATAACACAAATATTTCCAGTAAAATGAGTCATGTCTTTAAATTATAAAACATTTCGAGCCACGTGTTCAAAAATGTGCTTTGTATTTAAGTGCGAAACTTCAAGTGACATCCTATTTGCTTATGGCATATAGATTTAGCGCTGTTTCAGATCAAGTCTCACCTTTCCAGACAAGTGCACTTATAGTCTATTATGAGGGCTATTAAAATTTCGCAATGTGCCATTTTAATTTCTACATTGACAAATGCGTGTCATATATTAAGATGCAAACTTGCATGCAAAATGTTGATTTCCATCTAATTGGCCGGAGTGCTGTATTTTGTGATTATCACATTTTTCTCGCATGTTGCATATTTGGCATTGCTAATGGACTATATTGTTGTTCATTAACAAGCACTTTCTGTCAAAGCATTTCTTCCTGCTCCCATCACATGATCCAGGCCCGAAGCCTGAAGGCTTTTTCAAATCTTGCCTAAAATAATACGAACCCACCTTCTCCGGCAATTTGAGAGCACTCGAAATTTTTAGTTAATTTTTTTCCGTAATGTCTATTTGATCTAATTTATGATTATAAATCAGATAATTCTGCAAGTTCAGTGATGCAATGCCCGTGATGCACCAAAGTTCTGAACGCAGAAAAACTCCTACTAAAAATGTTCTTACCTTTTCATGCTGTAACAGTGTAATGAGAATAAACAGCAAGTATATATGAAGATCACTCACAAAATGACAATATTTACTATAACCTGATTGGAGCTTACATTAGTGAATCGATCATGAAGAGCATATTTCAAAGGACATGCCTACATTGACTATATTTTGGACACACACATTTTACAAATGAAGACAATTGAATTACATAACCTAAGCCTGAATTGAATTTTGGGAGAGGGGGTTCTATGCCTGTAATTTCTGTAAATGTGTGGTCTGTTATAGTCTCGAGCTATTTATTTTGCTGACCTATCCAGAAAGTGGTTTCAAACGTAAGAGGACCAGACAGTGTATCGCGGACAATTTTTGACAGTTTTATTTTCAATTTGGAGTATTATAAGACCACACATTTCTCATTTATCCTGTGTAAGACTATTAGTATAAAACCTTTTACTATATTGTAGTATTTATTAATATACAAATGTATAAAAATATGATTTTATTTATAGTTCTTGAAATGTCTATGTAAACTTATAAGTGAATGGAATTGCGCCTTCACCAAAACAACGGTGCATATGGACTGCTGCGTAGTAAAATAATTATCTACATGGTCATTGGTCTATTCTTGCCCTCAAATGTAGGGCGTGTCCTTGACCTCCAAATAACGAGGACAAGTTTGACCAAGAAACAAAGTCCGGCTGTGCCTAACAGTGCAGCTGTGAATATTGAGTTCCTTTTGGTGACGTCCCAGTTCTTCGCAATGCTTCCAATAAGTGCCACTATTACAACAATATAAGGGACGATGGTGTATCGGAGATATTTGTCAAACAAGAAGTTGTCTGTTACGAAGTAGATAATGAGTTCCATTGCTAGAACACCAAGTGAAATGGTACACGCTGTATCTTGCGACATGCCAGCATAATAAGTAAGTACCATTGCAAAGTTCAGTAGAGTTGCAATTGTGGTCCAAGCAGCATAGATTCCAAGTCCGTTATGAAGGAAGACTCTCACCATCCAAATGTCCTTGCCCATTCCTTGTTGGATCATGACAGAGCCATACTTGTCGAGTTGCTTGCACGAGATCAACATCATAATGTATAAGGTGAAAGGAGTCAGAGCGATAACAATCAGGGAGTATTGTATATACTCTCTGTCAAACAAGAACAACCATGCGATGTTATTGGCGTTGTTGAACATGTATATGACGAAGAGAGACGAAGGAAATATATCTGGCGACACGTAAAGGGGCCCTTCAACGGATCTTCTACATAGGGCACAAGTTGCGTAGATGAGCCACAAGGCCTGCCAGGCATAAATGAATCCCCATAATGAGAAGGTCCAACCAGCAGGTGTAATCTCAAGATAGTACTTTTCAGATATGTTTGTATTGCTACTAACGAACAACTCTGAAAACAAATATTTATTTATTGTACCAATAATTCCTTTAAGGGCAAATGTACAAAAGAAGAGAAAGAAAACTTACATAGACATAATAACGTACAAGTAGAAAAATATGAACCACTTGTTTTTTAGACATGAAAGAATACAGAGAAACGTACATTCATATTATATGTTAGCCCTTTTACTGCATATTTAGCGTAAACGTTTCCTCTTACATATACCCTCAAAAAGTATATGGCCCAAGAAAACACGAGATCAAATAATTGTCTGTTTACTTGTCTGTTTACCATTATTTAGTGAATAAAAAATAATACTCCATGCCCCATTCTCATGTACATAATGGAATCAATTGGCATGCCTGAAGGCAATGTACTAGACCTGGGGTACCAGATATATAGTATATGTTTAAATACAATTGTCTATAGTTGTAACAAAAAAATTACCCATAGTATGTGCCTTTTTAGTTACGGTAATTTTAATATATAAGGACGAGTTGCAAGTTGTGTAAAAAGATTCAAATCTTTTTGAAACCAATCAAAGGTAATTTAAAACGTTTATTTAAAGTTGATTTTAATGCCCATGACATGTTTTTGGAAGGCAGGTGAATGAGAAAAATCTGTTACCATTATACACTTACCCTTGCCATTAAATATTATATTTATACAAAAGAGTTTAACGAGGTGAATCGCAATTTGGATGGTTCAACCAAAACAACAACAGATTTGGACTCAATATTGATTGTGTTGTTTGATAACCTTACACAATATAAACTTCTTAAAATACTTCTTAGTCTAAAAATCATTTATCTATCATCCTGATTGAGATGGTATATTCGAATGTACAAACATATTGAGTCAGCGACACAAACGCAGGGCGCAGTTAAAAAAATTTAACTCCCTCCTGGACTTGAACTTTAATTCTATAAAATTGAAATATACTTACTCCATTCTTTTAAGTACATACTGGCGATACCCTGCATGGCATTGAAAAACAGCATAGCCAGGAAGACTAGCCATGTTAGTACAATCAATAAAATCTTCAATGGCTTATGGTCAGCCATATTTTTCTAAACAGTTGTATTTTCTCTCTTCTAGTTATCAAAATGTACGTCTGCATTTACAACTCTAGCTGTCAAAACTGAGTTTTATTCTTAGTTTTTATTGACACTTGTAGCTGCTAAATATCATGTATAGGTATTGAGATGAATCAGCTATGTTTTTAAAGTTATGAAACCTATTTGAGCACGGATCAAAACACGTGCATGTACTTTAACTTTTTTTATGTAGATGTTTATAAAATGTTTAAAAAAGGGGGTATTAACTAGGACGTTTGTTATACTGATGCCATATAGAGAATTAAAAGGAGATGAAGCCGGGTACAAGCATTTATCTACGTATATTAAGTGACCTTATACTCCTACATTTCATAACAGTTGATCATAGCAACAAATATTTACCTTATAAAATTCAGTGCAGAATACATCCTTCTTCAAAGGACTTCATTTATGCCTTAATTCATATATACTTGTAAAATACCCTTGCAGCAAGGATGTGCAGAATATTCTGGTATAGTAAACCAAGGACGTGAGTTAACAAAGCGCAGACAGAATGCAGACGAGATGGACCTCTTCATGAACGAGGCTCAATATTTTCCTCGCGGTCAACTCGTTCAGCTCATTCGCAGAGAGGCCAAACGATACCAAATTACATTATCATCAATTCTCCTTTTCGCGATTCGCTCTTTGAATCAGAACGTTCGCAAATATGCACTGAAAAAGCACTCAAAAAGGACAAAATTTGATTGGTCAATATTTTCCCACTATGCATTTCGCGTAGCTATTTGCGTGACACGAAAGTTCTAAATCAAACTAATTACTCAATTTTGTTTTTACACCCGCACGCTAAATAAAACAATGACACCATCGTAAGTATTCTTCTTTGTCATTACTTTAAATGTCAGTATACCGAGTTTAATCAATAAAAGATTGAACAATGAACAACAAAATTCGGAAACGAGTACTATAGATTTGCTTTCGGACCACTGAACAGATTGACCTAGATAATAGCGACGCATCTTCTTTGGTCTACTGCTCAGTTGTTTGTGGGTTTTCAACGTAACTCTAAAATGTAATTTGAAGATGAATACTTTTATTCAGTTGTTGCATCGATGTCGCAGTTTGTAGTGCGGTAAGATTGGCATGAAAGTATTGAAAGTCGAATGGAATTGTTTTTTCCAATATGGCGACTAGTCTACTGATCACGTGACCTTCTCTTCCGCAATATTTTCTCACTTTTCAATCATTGTTTTCACCACGCTATGAATTAATACAATGAAAAAAATAGCTGTTATATTAAGATTAATGAGAGATCAATCGTTTCTAATAATTTGTTCTGTACTCTCGTACGGGAATGTGAACGAATACAGTATATCGTTTGAAAAATAGGTGTGAAAATCCCCATGTTAAACCTATGAGGGAAAATAAGGAAGTATAAATTTGTTCCTCCGCGAACTGCATCATGGGAAATATTTTGCCCTTATAAGGAAAGATTTTCGCGTTTTCTCTTTTGAAGAGGGAACAACGATTTCGAGAATTGTTCACACATTGCTAGGCATATATATACCCTGCGCGCAGTGTCTAGTTATAATGATGAAGCTCTCTCTTAGAAGCGAAGTCAAATGACGCAAAGGGTACATACTATACATCACAATCCAACCAATTTAGACTACAGTATAGTGTTTTATATTTTACAGCAGATGGATCATTATTTTTTGATTCAGTACAATTGATTACCCCATCAATTTCAAGTTGGTCGTTCTATAAATCCCCTTGCTAACATATTCATCCACATCATGATCAAAAGTTCTCATATATTGTTGTTACCTTTTTATTTCCTATTTATACATATAACGTCATGCATGCTTACGTAAAATATGATATCTATTCAAGGGCGTTACAATACCCGGGAATTTATCGGTTCGTCCAGTACTTGTTTGTGATAGCGCCCTCTGTAGGTCACTGTGCTTATAGCCTACAGTAATACGGGGTAGGATATCGGGAATTCGGTCAGTTTCTATCCGTCGATTTCGCTATGAATTGAAGCAAGTGTGACCACTTTATCCACTTAAACAATTTGATAATTGATTAAATCTTTAAACAAAATCGATAAACACGTTATACACTTCCTATCTCCTTAGAAATTAGCATGTATTTATGGATTGTGTTTTCGAACAAGGCTCGACCCACCCCAATAGGGAAATCCTTATGCTAATTAGTATGACGTCATATTTTCCTGGGGAATCCTAGATTTCAAGGCCTCAGTCTGTTATTGTGTCAAATGTAAACGCTCTTGGGACGCTCTTTTGCAGACAGAAAATTGACAGATTAGCTTTTAACTTTCAGCTTTGATGTTTAAATATTCTGTATTTCTACCGGACTTCTTGCTGAATATCATATAATGTTATAACTTGATTTGGATCATTGCCTGATTGATCATTCTGAAATTTTGATTGTGATTCATGATTGATTGGCAAGAAAAATAATTCCTATTGTTTTCCAGCGAAGTCAAAATGTTACAGCATGAGTTATAATGTCGAGTTTGCATCATGTTAAATTCTGCTAGTGATTAGAAGTCCATGCACAAGCATACACATAAGAGACAAACACACCCAGGCTCCAGGCCGTGGATGGAAATATAAAACTATTTAAGGCACAAACTGGTATTAATAGACCGATATGTAGTGTCTGCCATGTATTGAAGGTAAACCAATCTGTATTATTAATGTTTCTTCTATCAATACATGGGTTGTGCAATAGAAAAGCAATGGCACAATCAAAAATGTGCATATCAATCGTGAATATCTCTCGGTTCAAAGCTTATTTCCAACAGAATCGTGTCAAAATATGTGTCTGAGTAACAGTTATACATTATAAGATCGCAAACTCTTACCAATTATCAGCCGAATGGCTCATTTTCAACGAAATGTCCTTAAGACAACAGCCCTGGGTCGCGCCTGAGACCAAAAACTACTTCAAATAGCCCTCCCCTAATTATATTGGATAATCACATTTATGGGTGCGCGCGCAGCTCATCCAATGAACGAAACGCCACTTCCCGCTGAAATCACCGGGTATTGATCTTTCCCTTGATCTATTCTTGTTATTACTTGTACTTCACAGGTAGTAATCAAACAGGACCTTCTTGCAAAATCCGCACGATCCGGGTAAAAATCGCACTCTCGGAGTAAAAATCACTAAATGAGAAGTATAAAAAGTGTTGATCAATCCATACCAACAGGATTAAGCACCGGACTCGGTGCTTTGCATGTACTATAATATAATACTTCTTAATATTGTATCGTAAGTGGCTCTTTCTTAACTTTCAATTTCTTTTTTTATGTTGCAATGCCAGCTATTAATCGTTTAAATTGTCTCCTTTATTTTAAACATTGAGTTCCACTAATCATATCAACATATGCATAGTTTTCAATTAATCGAGCAAGTAAAATAACCTACTTGGAAGTGTATAACTAATCCCTGCTTAACCTTCCGTTATAAATCAAAGATTTAACATTTGAAATATTAAAATTGTGATCCTACAATGACCCCAAAGTCTTTATAATTGATATAATAAAACAGACTCGCCCGTGTATCAATTACTAGAACAGTATTTATTACTAGTGTACACATGTGTAATAGCTAAAGAATGTGATTCTATCTACAGTATATTAAAATGTCCATGTAACCAAATACTAGATTAGTATTTAAATTAAACTGCGGTTTCACCAACACAAATGTGCAAGTAGACCGCTGCGTAAAAATAGAACCATTGTTACTGCGTAATTCGTCAAATTACAATTTACATGATCATTGGTTTCTTCTTGCCCTCAAATATAGGACGTGTCCTTGACCTCCAAATAACGAGGACAATTTTGACCAAGAAACAAAGTCCGGCTGTCCCTAACAGTGCAGCTGTGAAGATTGAGTTCCTCTTAGTGACGTCCCAGTTCTTCGCAATGCTTCCAATAAGTGCCACTATGACAACAATATAAGGGACGATGGTGTATCGGAGATATTTGTCAAACAAGAAGTTGTCTGTTACGAAGTAGATAATGAGTTCCATTGCTAGAACACCAAGTGAGATGGTACACGCTGTATCTTGCGACATGCCAGCATAATAGGTAAGCACCATTGCAAAGTTCAGTAGAGTTGCAATTGTGGTCCAAGCAGCATAGATTCCAAGTCCGTTATGAAGGAAGACTCTTACCATCCAAATGTCCTTGCCCATTCCTTGTTGGATCATGACAGAGCCATACTTGTCGAGTTGCTTGCACGAGATGAACATCATAATGTATAAGGCGAAAGGACACAGGGCGAGAGCGACCAGGGCATATTCGACATATTCTCTGTCGAACAAGAATAACCATGCGATGTTAGTAGCATTGTTGAACATGTATATGAAGAAGAGTGACGAAGGAAATATATCTGGCGACACGTAAAGGGGCCCTTCAACGGATCTTCTACATAGGGCACAAGTTGCGTAGATGAGCCACAAGGCCTGCCAGACATAGATGAATCCCCATATTGAGAAGGTCCAACCAGCAGGTGTAATCTCAAGATAGTACTTGTCAGATATGTTCCCAGTGCTGCTAACGAACAACTCTGAAAACAATGGCAAAACATTTGTTGATTTAATTGTGAATTATTTTAGAAAATGTTAATTATTTAGTTATACGTCAAATTCAAACACGAATGCGGTGAAACGTGCATGGGGACATTTGTAGAATATACCATCAACGACAGTGTGGTCTAAGAAAACACTAGGTCATTTTATACTCGTCTGCTTACGATTGTTTCGTAAATCGTAGAAGCAATGCAAATATAAGAGGGTCATTCAATAGAAATTAATACAAAATGCTCTCATTCCCATGTTAATAATGGAATCAAGTTGACATATGGTTTAGGCATGTACAGGGTACATGTTTACATAAAGGTTAAGTATAACGAATTTATCCATAGTACTTTTAAAGTTACAGTACGAGGGGTGGGTATAGGTGCTTTCAAAATCATGCAGGTTTTCACAATTTTGTGCACTTCTCGAGTGATTTTAGGTGAACCGACCCCCCCCCCTCCCTAAGCAAAACCTGACTACGGGCATGAGGGGTGAGCGTATTTCGGCAAGTGTTTTCAAATGGTATCCATTTCAACATTGGTAATAAGCCAATAAAAATAGGACCGTGTGATCATCTTTTACCTTTGTATTCACCTTACATAAAATGATTATAATCACAGTTAAGTATGATAGAAAAGAATGTATGTACAATCTAATGAAATGCATGTACAATGTACATGTAGTTATATCTTGCTTTACTGAACGAGCAATGGGCGTCTTTTATAGGCAATAGGCTTAATGTAATTATGAATGACGTATCTTTTCTACCTTATTAGACAAGCGAGTTTTTGTACAGGCACTATATAGTGTGCCTCGAGTGCTTAATCAAAACTCTAATTATAGTCGCTATATACATTATGCACAGCGGTGCATTGCACACTCACTAGCTCACATATCTGTATAGATTTGAAACTTTACATATTTATAAAACATATGTCAATTTGGCCATGTGTTTCCCTATGGTTCAACCAAAACAAACATGGCTTCAATATCATTCGTGTCGTTTGATAACCTTACACAATGCTTAGTATATGTAGTCTTAAGATTAATTATCTTCACTTATCATCCCAATGCAGATGGTATATTCGAATGTACAAACCAGCGACATAAAACGCAGGAGCCAAAACGTAGCTAGTTAGAAAATTACTCCTCCGGTGGTTCAACTAAAAATAAAATTATTTTACTTTGCAATTTAAAGAACAACTTTAAATATACTGACCCCATTCTTTTAAGTACATACTGGCGATTCCCATCATGGCGTTGAAAAACATCATAGCCAGGAAGACTAGCCATGTTAGTACAATCAATAAAATCTTCATTGGCTTGTGGTCAGCCATTTTGTCTTTTGCCTAAACAGTTGAACTTCTCTCTTCCAGTTATCACAATGTCACTTTCAGCGTTTCTGCAATTACAACTCCGGCAGTTAAGCTATAGACTGCTATGCCTCTCCGTAGTTTTTATTCAGTGTTTTCAATTGGGCCTATTAGCTACGTAGCTGCTGATTTATACATCTAGTTTCATTAAGCTTCGGACCTTATAACGTATTGCTTGAGCGTGGGAACTGGCGATGAATTTATAGACGTTCAGGTGAATGTATTTTCAAAGTTATGAAACCTATTTTAGCACGCGGCAAAACAAGTGCGCTTCATGTTCACTTGTTTACCTTTTGTGTTTACTATTTAGAAAATGTTTAAAATGAGGCTTTAAACGTGACGATAGATTTTGTATTCAACGATGTTTTCATAAGATTTCTCTTCTAGGTCAAATGCGGCAAAGCTTGTAAATTAACGATGTAACTTGTAAATTTTGAATCCTTCGCAAATTTAATGTTTTTTGCTGAATCAGCAGTTTTCGCTTTTTACCCAAAAAAACACTGATTTTGACGATATTTGGCTACAATTTCGTCCTTCATGACCCCTAGATGTCATATGCTGTCGTAAATGGGGAAGCCAATGAGTTGCTGTTTATAATAAAGAAAGAATTTTCCATCTTATGGTTTCCAGTAGAGAATGAAGGTCAGTTAAATGTCAATTTTTGATGTATTTGTCCACTCTGAATGACTAAATTCGAGCTACAACTATCTCAAAAGTCAAAATTGAACAAAGTTGTCATCATTTTTCAAATCAGGAGGTTGTTGAATGGAATAAAATATCAAAAAATTGATAATTTTAGTAAAAGTTTGTCTAAGTAGGCCAAATTTGCCCAATTTTCTGGTTCACGGTTCAGTGATTTGGGAGAAAAAATCGCAATATGTAATAAAATACTCAATTTCGTGACAATTTATTGTAAAATGTCACCATTAGGCAGTAGATTTCATTCTGTAAACGAAAATCTAGTCAATTTAAAGGAAAATCATTGGGTTCTTGGCAAAATGACCCGAGGGTTAATAAAGTAGCCATATTGTTCATAATTGCAACATCAGAATATTCTTAAACTGCACAAAACTACTTGAAACACTCTAGTAGATTGGAAAACGCAATTTCAAGCCAGAAATCATCCAACCATGTGGCTATTAGGCCAAAATGCCCCAATACGTCACTTCCGCTGAATAGAAAAAAGTTTTAAAAATGAATGTAGTCCCAACACAATTGTGATATGATGTGAATTGTTTTTGTTTTTGTAATGCCATCTATTCGTAGGTTGCGTGTCTCCAAAGGACGCATTACAAAAACAAAAATATAGTCCAATTATTAATTAGCATCCCCAGTGGTTGAATTTTGGTAAGTACATGAATGAAAAAGTGTATGTATGGACGAACTCTATAAGACATGATTTGATGTGATTAAGGTGCATTTTCTTTAGAAAATTTGACCTTTTTGACCTGCCTCCATCTGTCAAAATCAGAATGACATTTTCTATAGATGGCGTCTTCAACAGGTGAGATCTTTTGATTTTCGTGGGGAGTTTTGATTCAAACTTTTTTGACTGACAGAGGACATACTGGGGTATGATGGAATGATAGCAAAACATGTCCACAAATCTTAGTTTTCTCTAGAAGACAGATCGTTTGTATGGGAATGTTATAACAATTGGTTGGGTTAGCCCAAATAATGGATAATCACATTTATGCGTGCGCGCGCAGCTCATCCACTGAACGAAACGCCACTTCCCGCTGAAATCATCGGGTATTGATTTTTCGCATGGATGACAGACATAATTTCGTCTCTTGCTTACCACTTTCGTTCGTTCGAATTTTCATTGGCTAATTTTCAAATACTTCACTTTGATGTGATGTTTTGATTGATAAGGGCATATTCCATACATCTTTCTTCATCTTGACGTGAAATAACAAGCTATATGATATTGGTAAACACACCAGAAATTAACATAATACTATTCGAAGCGTATTTCGAAAATTCGCCATTTGTTTGTTGACTTTTGACCAATCGGAGATGTATGCTATATATGTCATCTCAATACAGGTTTACATTATAAGCGTATGTCATCTTTGAACTCTGGTGTTATCCCCCTCTGTTCTGAGTTATATTGATTGAGAAATGCAGACATACAACAATGCCATCTTTCTTTTAGTATGAAACTTATTTCAAACTATGATCATATGAGATTTATCCGCTTCAGTAAATAACCCGTATTGTTTAGTTGGCAATGATACTTATCGCAATCTCTCATATTAAACAAATACTGGATGACCATGAGGTGGATATGCTAGAATACCTATCCGAGAAAAAAATACTAGGCGAGGCGAAGATTCTAGTATTTTTATTTTATTTAATTCTGCACCTCCCTTGAGAAATACTTTATTTTAAAGAATGGGCCTACTAAAACAGAAGCCGAGCCTAGTATTTTTTCGAGGATAGGTATTCTGGCATACGGGATGGTTGGAGATCTCGTTGCTTCAATACTGGTTAGAACGAGATCTTGCTGCCACGTATGGCAATAGACCCTGCAGCTCTTAACCAATCAGATTTGAATATTTTAATGAGGTGCATAATAAATTGTATTATTGTGATGTTCAATGTTTTGTATTATTGTAATGTTGAAGATTTTATCTATCTGGGATTGATTTATTGTTCCCTAGTGTAACGAATAGATTATGAATCAAAACCATTTTGTACTCTTCTACTTATATCAAAATATATACTCTTCTTTTATTATATAACCAAACTTAATTATTCTGTTTTGTTCAATAATGTAAACAGAAAGGTGCAGTGAGCGATGATAATGCCCCTTAGTGACCCATTATGCAACTTATCCTGATATAAATTATTCCGTTCAAAGTTCATTTTTGACAAGATTTGTCCTAGTTCTCTACACCCCCCATATAACATAGAATATAAAATTCACAATTTAACCCATAACATCTCCCTTTCTTTTAACCACGGCGACGCTACCAAAGTATTTTGAGGGAATGTTACAAATACAGGGCGTATCAAAAAAACGCAACAAGTAGTTATATCGTAAAATCACAAAACTAGTGACGACTACATCAATTTCATTTAATGTACCATAAAACCATGTCTCTCCTCTTTGCAATGATATGTCATTCATTCACATGTGGCATTATTACGGATGGTGGGAGGTCCTCCATCTATCTAAGTAATATATGGAGGACTTCCCACCATCCGTGGGCATTACACATTTATATTTCATTTTTGTACTTAAGTAGTTTGTAGTTATTTGTATGCTTTGTATATGACCCCTGATGGGGATTGAAATACAATAAAGCTAATAAATTTGAAATTTGAAATTTGAAATTTGTGGTAAAGCACACTACTATACCTAACACCTAGAAATGCATAAGATACTTTGTTTGTCTAATTGAATTGTTTAATATATTTTTGAAAGTGCCCTACTAGCATCTAATTTTCAACCGATAAACCATTCATAAGGAACAGACAAATAAAAACAAATACATAATCATTACTAATAAGCCAAATGGGTTGCTCATGAACACCAAATGCAAGGTAAAGTAGTGTGTAAAGGTTAAGTGAGAAATCCTTCAATTTGCACAGTGGGTCAAAATCGGCTCTGCGCCAAGTTTTAGATATTGAAAAAATCCAAGTGCCAATGGAAGTTCCCCTGACTTGAATTGTTGTGACTTTTTCTTTTGGAGCTATCTCAGGAGCATCTGTGCTCACAATTCCTCCACCAGATATTGCAAAACCTCGAGGAAGATTCGCCCATGGGCTGCTTTTCTTTGCTTTAACCTACACATGATTCAGGGCTGAACCATGCATGACGTGGATAGATGAGCGCATCTTTATGTGCAAGGAAGTGGTGGCAATTTGGAGGGGTATAGGATGTATTCTTGCAAGAGTATGAGTATGAACACTTATGCCATACCTGTCACACCTTCTTTCAATAGCCCCTATGCCCCTTGTACTGACTTTTGCAATGTTTTAAACTTGGGTCCGAGCTGAATTTTGCCCCACTTTGCAAAATTAATGATTATTCGGCCAGAGATGACTCCCTGTGAATGAATGATATTCCATTGCAAAGAAAGGTAATTTGGCTTTTTGGTACATTGAATTAAGGATGCAGTCAGCATTGGTTTTATGTTTTCTTCCAATATTGCATCGGGCTCCGAACACTGACTTTTGCAATGTTTATAACTTGGCCCGAAGCTAATTTTGGCCCGTTTTGCAAATGGAATGATTACTAGTACTCACCCAACCATGACCAAATATCAATGAATGATATATCATTGTAAAGAGGAGACACGTGGCTTTATGGTGCATTGTATGATATCAATGCTGTTATCACTGGTTTTGTGCTTTTCCAAGATAACAATCTGTTGCGTTTTTTTTATACGCATTGTATATGCTGTTTACCTGCAATGGACGTATAGAAACTGATTGAGCAAGGGCGTCTAATGCAAATGTACGTTTAAAGAGATCGGGTCTCCTAAAAACACATTTTGAGTAAGCCCCTGATTTTTTCGTGTTATTTGATGTAAAACAAGTTTGTTTATCAACTTATCAATTCTGAGGCTTGAATTAATTCGTTAACAGTATCAATTCGATGATTGTTCCTAGCCATGAATTTCCTCTTACATCAATAGAAATTCAAATAAAATTTAAAAAGCCCGCTCAAATTTGTTCCAGTCTGATTGGCTTTTTCCTTCAGATTACTTTGGCTTAGAGAAGCCATATTTACCAGGTCGTTCAACGAACTTATTGAACGACCTGTTATTACTTCTAAGGGGTTACAATACAGATAAATCCCCCCAAAAACATTGTATTCTGTTTTCGACTTATTGCGTTCAATTCTGACAGTTGATTGGTTGTTCTTTTGGTTGTCCTGTTGATATCCTCAATATATTGTCGATATCGTGCTTATGATTTGGTCTCAAGATATATCTTAGGTATATATGATGTTTTATGAGCAATTATATTGGGACATTACTGATTGTCCAGAATAGAAATCTGGACGAATGGAAATCTGGACGACTCGATCTCTTTAAGGTCAGAATAAAGGCGAATGCACACTCAAATGTCAGAAAAGTTACCAGTCCTATCATTTAAATTCAGGTTCTTATCTTGACATTTAACGCTTGTTCAAACGACACTCTATCAACACACACACGTGCAGACGATAGATTCTATTTTCAGTTCAGTATAAGAGTAAGTACCCGGATATAAGATTTTAATCACGCATGTAGGATCTGATTTTATTGCGTGTAGAATGGCTACATGCCAGTGAACTAATTCCTAAAAGACAAGCTCAACCTTCGATTTATAAAGCTACAAACTCGCCCGTGTATCAGTATAAACATATTGCTATATAGTTTTTATTATTAGTACTACATGTTTTCATATACAAATGTGTAAAAACTAAAAAATGTGATTCTATTTAAAAGTATATCAAAATGTTCATGTAACTACCTGGAATCGCAGTTTCACCAACACAAATGTGCAAGTAGACTGCTGCGTAAAAGAACCATTGTTACTGGGCAAATCGTCAAATTACTATCTACATGGTCATTGGCTTCTTCTTGCCTTCAAATATAGGACGTGTCCTTGACCTCCAAATAACGAGGACAATTTTGACCAGGAAGCAAAGTCCGGCTGTACCTAACAGTGCAGCTGTGAAGATTGAGTTCCTCTTAGTGACGTCCCAGTTCTTCGCAATGCTTCCAATAAGTGCCACTATGACAACAATATAAGGGACGATGGTGTATCGGAGATATTTGTCAAACAAGAAATTATCTATTACGAAGTAGATAATGAGTTCCATTGCAAGAACAGCTAGTGAGATGGTACAAGCTATGTCTTGTGACATGCCGGCATAAAAGGTAAGTACCATTGCAAAGTTCAGTAGAGTTGCAATTGTGGTCCAAGCAGCGTAGATTCCAAGTCCGTTATGAAGGAAGACTCTTACCATCCAAATGTCCTTGCCCATTCCTTGTTGAATCATGACAGAGCCATACTTGTCGAGTTGCTTGCACGAGATCAACATCATAATGTATAAGGTAAAAGGAAGTAAAGCGATAACGATCAGGGAATATTGGATATATTCTCTGTCAAACAAGAACAACCAGGCGATGTTATTGGCGTTGTTGAACATGTATATGAAGAAGAGTGATGAAGGAAATATATCTGGTGACACGTAAAGGGGCCCTTCAGCGGATCGTCTACAGAGAGCACACGTTGCGTATCCGAGCCAGAGGACCTGCCAGGCATAGATGAATCCCCATATTGAGAAGGTCCAACCAGCAGGTGTAATCTCAAGGTAATACTCATCAGATATGTTTCCAGTTGAACTTACAAACAAGTCTGAAAACAAGTACGAAACATGATTACACAATGGCTTTATATAACGAATTTATTCTTAGCACTTTAAAAAGATCAATATATTTATTAATGAAGTAGTTAATTTTGTATTAGTACTTAATGTTAACTAAATGTATGTAAGGAAATACAAAAATGTTACTCAGCTCTTAGGAATATATAAGAAGATTTCATCTAGAATGATTAAAAAGTGCCAATGGGATATTTAATTTATACTACATTTGAATGCGATCCGGAAATGAACTACACAATGGCAAAGATGACCAAACTTTCACTTTCGATAATTTAATGTCATCTAGCATAGTTGCGCTAAATGTAATAAAACAAAATCTATCTGCACATTGCCATTTGCATTTGTAGTAAAATCATCACTATGTATCACAACTTGTGATTAAAAAGCATGACTGTACAATTTGAAAAATCTTGAACAACATTTTCATCGTTAAGTTTTAACTTTCAAAAGTTATATTTTGCCTGAGCTATAGACTTCTCAAAAAATGAAATGACGTATTTTTTCCACGTTATTAGAAAATGTAGCTAATTTTCGTGAAGAAACCACAATAGACTCGAGTGCATTTTGATTAAGACCCAGCTACTACACACAATATGCACAATTGTACATTAAACACACACCTTTGAGGTTTCGAAGATTTTTATTTATTGACATGCTGCCATTTTGTATGTGCTTCCTGTAGTTCAACCAACAATAACAGTTATGACCTTAATATCGATCGTGTTGTTGGATAACATTACACAATCAAGCTCGAGGCAATAGGGGTTGGAACCCCCTCCCCTTGGCCAAAAATTCTTTCAAAATCATGCAAATTTCAACATTATGAACATTTTTAAAGTGATTTGGGCAAAAATTGTCTAATCTGAACTCCCCTTGAATTTGTTTTCACCTATAATCCTCATGGAGATGGTATATTCGAATGTACAAACATATCGAACAGCGATACGAACGAAGGGCGTAGCTTTATAAGAGTAACCTCCCCGGACTTAAAACACAATTATGTTACTGTTAAATTGAAATGACAACTTAAAATACACTTAGTGGCAATTTGGAGGGGTATAGGATGTATTCTTGCAAGAGTATGAGTATGAACACTTATGCCATACCTGTCACACCTTCTTTCAATAGCCCCTATGCCCCTTGTACTGACTTTTGCAATGTTTTAAACTTGGGTCCGAGCTGAATTTTGCCCCACTTTGCAAAATTAATGATTATTCGGCCAGAGATGACTCCCTGTGAATGAATGATATTCCATTGCAAAGAAAGGTAATTTGGCTTTTTGGTACATTGAATTAAGGATGCAGTCAGCATTGGTTTTATGTTTTCTTCCAATATTGCATCGGGCTCCGAACACTGACTTTTGCAATGTTTATAACTTGGCCCGAAGCTAATTTTGGCCCGTTTTGCAAATGGAATGATTACTAGTACTCACCCAACCATGACCAAATATCAATGAATGATATATCATTGTAAAGAGGAGACACGTGGCTTTATGGTGCATTGTATGATATCAATGCTGTTATCACTGGTTTTGTGCTTTTCCAAGATAACAATCTGTTGCGTTTTTTTTATACGCATTGTATATGCTGTTTACCTGCAATGGACGTATAGAAACTGATTGAGCAAGGGCGTCTAATGCAAATGTACGTTTAAAGAGATCGGGTCTCCTAAAAACACATTTTGAGTAAGCCCCTGATTTTTTCGTGTTATTTGATGTAAAACAAGTTTGTTTATCAACTTATCAATTCTGAGGCTTGAATTAATTCGTTAACAGTATCAATTCGATGATTGTTCCTAGCCATGAATTTCCTCTTACATCAATAGAAATTCAAATAAAATTTAAAAAGCCCGCTCAAATTTGTTCCAGTCTGATTGGCTTTTTCCTTCAGATTACTTTGGCTTAGAGAAGCCATATTTACCAGGTCGTTCAACGAACTTATTGAACGACCTGTTATTACTTCTAAGGGGTTACAATACAGATAAATCCCCCCAAAAACATTGTATTCTGTTTTCGACTTATTGCGTTCAATTCTGACAGTTGATTGGTTGTTCTTTTGGTTGTCCTGTTGATATCCTCAATATATTGTCGATATCGTGCTTATGATTTGGTCTCAAGATATATCTTAGGTATATATGATGTTTTATGAGCAATTATATTGGGACATTACTGATTGTCCAGAATAGAAATCTGGACGAATGGAAATCTGGACGACTCGATCTCTTTAAGGTCAGAATAAAGGCGAATGCACACTCAAATGTCAGAAAAGTTACCAGTCCTATCATTTAAATTCAGGTTCTTATCTTGACATTTAACGCTTGTTCAAACGACACTCTATCAACACACACACGTGCAGACGATAGATTCTATTTTCAGTTCAGTATAAGAGTAAGTACCCGGATATAAGATTTTAATCACGCATGTAGGATCTGATTTTATTGCGTGTAGAATGGCTACATGCCAGTGAACTAATTCCTAAAAGACAAGCTCAACCTTCGATTTATAAAGCTACAAACTCGCCCGTGTATCAGTATAAACATATTGCTATATAGTTTTTATTATTAGTACTACATGTTTTCATATACAAATGTGTAAAAACTAAAAAATGTGATTCTATTTAAAAGTATATCAAAATGTTCATGTAACTACCTGGAATCGCAGTTTCACCAACACAAATGTGCAAGTAGACTGCTGCGTAAAAGAACCATTGTTACTGGGCAAATCGTCAAATTACTATCTACATGGTCATTGGCTTCTTCTTGCCTTCAAATATAGGACGTGTCCTTGACCTCCAAATAACGAGGACAATTTTGACCAGGAAGCAAAGTCCGGCTGTACCTAACAGTGCAGCTGTGAAGATTGAGTTCCTCTTAGTGACGTCCCAGTTCTTCGCAATGCTTCCAATAAGTGCCACTATGACAACAATATAAGGGACGATGGTGTATCGGAGATATTTGTCAAACAAGAAATTATCTATTACGAAGTAGATAATGAGTTCCATTGCAAGAACAGCTAGTGAGATGGTACAAGCTATGTCTTGTGACATGCCGGCATAAAAGGTAAGTACCATTGCAAAGTTCAGTAGAGTTGCAATTGTGGTCCAAGCAGCGTAGATTCCAAGTCCGTTATGAAGGAAGACTCTTACCATCCAAATGTCCTTGCCCATTCCTTGTTGAATCATGACAGAGCCATACTTGTCGAGTTGCTTGCACGAGATCAACATCATAATGTATAAGGTAAAAGGAAGTAAAGCGATAACGATCAGGGAATATTGGATATATTCTCTGTCAAACAAGAACAACCAGGCGATGTTATTGGCGTTGTTGAACATGTATATGAAGAAGAGTGATGAAGGAAATATATCTGGTGACACGTAAAGGGGCCCTTCAGCGGATCGTCTACAGAGAGCACACGTTGCGTATCCGAGCCAGAGGACCTGCCAGGCATAGATGAATCCCCATATTGAGAAGGTCCAACCAGCAGGTGTAATCTCAAGGTAATACTCATCAGATATGTTTCCAGTTGAACTTACAAACAAGTCTGAAAACAAGTACGAAACATGATTACACAATGGCTTTATATAACGAATTTATTCTTAGCACTTTAAAAAGATCAATATATTTATTAATGAAGTAGTTAATTTTGTATTAGTACTTAATGTTAACTAAATGTATGTAAGGAAATACAAAAATGTTACTCAGCTCTTAGGAATATATAAGAAGATTTCATCTAGAATGATTAAAAAGTGCCAATGGGATATTTAATTTATACTACATTTGAATGCGATCCGGAAATGAACTACACAATGGCAAAGATGACCAAACTTTCACTTTCGATAATTTAATGTCATCTAGCATAGTTGCGCTAAATGTAATAAAACAAAATCTATCTGCACATTGCCATTTGCATTTGTAGTAAAATCATCACTATGTATCACAACTTGTGATTAAAAAGCATGACTGTACAATTTGAAAAATCTTGAACAACATTTTCATCGTTAAGTTTTAACTTTCAAAAGTTATATTTTGCCTGAGCTATAGACTTCTCAAAAAATGAAATGACGTATTTTTTCCACGTTATTAGAAAATGTAGCTAATTTTCGTGAAGAAACCACAATAGACTCGAGTGCATTTTGATTAAGACCCAGCTACTACACACAATATGCACAATTGTACATTAAACACACACCTTTGAGGTTTCGAAGATTTTTATTTATTGACATGCTGCCATTTTGTATGTGCTTCCTGTAGTTCAACCAACAATAACAGTTATGACCTTAATATCGATCGTGTTGTTGGATAACATTACACAATCAAGCTCGAGGCAATAGGGGTTGGAACCCCCTCCCCTTGGCCAAAAATTCTTTCAAAATCATGCAAATTTCAACATTATGAACATTTTTAAAGTGATTTGGGCAAAAATTGTCTAATCTGAACTCCCCTTGAATTTGTTTTCACCTATAATCCTCATGGAGATGGTATATTCGAATGTACAAACATATCGAACAGCGATACGAACGAAGGGCGTAGCTTTATAAGAGTAACCTCCCCGGACTTAAAACACAATTATGTTACTGTTAAATTGAAATGACAACTTAAAATACACTTACTCCATTCTTTTAGGTACGTACTGGCGATACCCTGCATGGCATTGAAAAACAGCATACCCAGGAAGACTAGCCATGTTAGTACAATCAATAAAATCTTCATTGGCTTGTGGTCAGCCATCTTGTTCTTTGTCTACACCTTGTACTTCTCTCTTCTAGTTATCAAAATGTCCCCTTCCGTTTGTCTGCAATTACAACTCCGATCGTTGAGCTGGGCAGCTTTGTCCAGTGTTGTATATTAACCTTTTTAGCTAGCTACTTTATAATTCTGCACTAAAGCATTCAAATGAATCAGTTAATACGCCAGCATTCCAAAGTTATGAAACCTATTTGCACGCGACAAAGCATGTGCGCCTAAACCTCTTATGTAATAGAATAAAATTAGCTTTATTTTCACATACCTGAGCTATGGTTAAACACTTTGTTTGAATTATTTTGTTAATGCACTCCAGGGCCTGTGTTTTTCAGATAAAGGTCAAGGGGAGTTTTCAGAAAAATTTTAAATTGTCCGAAACAAAAAAGGAAAATATATTACTTTTTAAATCATTTTTTATTTTTCTCTATTTCTAGGAATGAATTCAAATTTTCATTTCTCCTATTATTTCAAGCAACATATTGGGCACATTTCTAAAAAATACAAAATAATCTGTTCGGTGACCTTCCCGAAAGGACAACTTTTAACTATTTTTCAGTCACATTTTCAGAGAGTTGAAAAAACTAGTTTATCACTTAAAGGGTCACTCTGAGTCCCAGGGGCGTAGCCAGCTTTCAGTCAGGGGGGGGGGGTGCGATCGCCAAAAAAAATCGGTTTTCAGTCAGGGCATAAACAAGCCCAAACATTAAGATTCGTCATGAATTTTACAAAAAAATGATGCAACTTCCTTCAAAATTAAGCAAGAAGCTCCAAATTGGTTAGGGGGGGGGGTGCGACCGCACCCATCGTAAAATTCAAACATCCACATGTTTTTTCATATCTAGTTTGGTCAGATCATGGGAATTCAACTTAAAATGGTGAATGATGTATTTCGATTCGAGTCTTCTTGAATCATGTATAAACTATTCTCATTAACAGTGTTCATATAGAGGGTTCACTTGTTCAGTAAAGATCACTAATGACTCCCCCTTGTCTGATCCCTTCTTAGTAGAAAGGGGGGTTCATCAGGGAGGAATCCTCTCGATGGAATTGTACTCATTATATACAAATGAACTACTTAATATTATCCAGGAATCTAAAGCAGGTTGGTCAAATCAATAACATAATTGTATCATGTCCTTCTTTTGCTGATGATACAGTTCTTATAGCTTATCATGCAAAATCAATGCAAAAAATGTTAGATATTGTATATGATTATAGTGTGAAATGGAGGTTCCAATACCATCCGGATAAGTGTCAAGCAATCGTTTTTTCAAATAAGAAGCATGTAAACAAACCCATTTTGTCTCTTGGTGATAGGACCATTGAAGTGAATGACACTGTACAACATTTAGGCCTGCCTCTAGCGAATAAGTCACATATTTCCCACGTTGAAAATTCCCTTTCAAAAGGCAGAAGAGCTATCAATGCCTATATTGGAGTGTCATCCACTGTTAATAATCCTACAAATCCTCTCACTGTCTCTCGCTTATATTGGACATGCTGTGTCCCATCTATAACGTATGGTATGGAACTCTTACCACTAAATGAATCTGAGTTAGAGTGCCTTGAAAGTGGCCACAGGGGAATAGCTAAGAAAATTCAAGGAATCCCCAAGACCACTAGCAACGCAGCCTCAACTTCAATTTTAGGATGGCATTCTTTAACCTCGAACATTGTTATAAGTAAACTTATGCTTTTATGGCAACTTTTATCTTTACCATTTCCAAGTATTTACAAGAAACTTATCATTTTACGCCTCCTTAGTGCAACATACGAAGATCTCAACAAATTTTCTCCTATAGGGAATTGTATTAAGATGGCAAAAGCATATCAGCTAGATGAAATGGTCTATGAAATGTTTAATGGACACGTCTATTCAAAGTTACAGTGGAAAAATATTGTGAAGAGTAAGGTACATTTATTTGAATTACGTAACTGGCAAATTGAATGTATATTGTCAAGAAAATTGCCATTGTTCAGAATAGTAACCCATGACATCCAGCCTATAATATGGTGGAAGGTAGCTAAATTAGATCCTAGAATTTTGAAGTGTTGCAGGACGGTGGTTAAACTACTGTTGGGAGAAGGAAACATAATGATTAATGTCAATAGGTGGTCTAACGGAAAAATTTCTGTATTATGTAAAATGTGCTATAAAGAACCAGAAACACTATCACACATGATACTGGACTGTGAAGGTCATGATGCTTTAAGATCTAATATTTTGGAAATTGTACATAATATCTTCAAACCAGCACAAAATTATCCAAAAGAGATGATTCTTGGAGCAATTTTTGGTGCAGGGGAGATATTTGATGTCGAGGAATATAAGCAAATTGCTGTTTACATCCATAAAATGTACATAAATAGACCAGAGTCTGGTCTGTAACTATAATTAAATTGTATATCATATACATATGTTATAAGTCTAAAATGATAAGCTACTTCGTTCATAAACAGTCTTCAATGCGTCCATCTCATTCGCAGTTCGTTCAGATCGCACCATGTCGGTGTGCAATTGATATCCGATTGCACAACGTTGTATAACGCGTCCCTAGTAGGATTGGAGTACGGCAATTACGTTCCTGGTCTTGTTTGGAGTGATAGCTATATTTTTGCTTACTCGTTCATAAGCAGTCTTTAATACGTTCTTAATCAGTTTAAACCCGTTTGCAATTAGTTCTACCTCGTTCTCAATACGTCCTCAGACAGTTCAACTTGTTGTAAAAACGTCTCTAGCAGGATTGAAGTACGACGGTTCCGTTCGTAGTACGTCGTATATAGTCCATATTCATTAGGCTAATAAATAAATAACGAAGGCAGTGATACCCTATTTGGCATTTTGAGTTTCTTAGTAAACCGAGTAAAATACTATATAAACAGAAAATGGCAAACGGATGGCTTGTCATCTAGCAACAGTAACACGACTTGGAAACCAGTCCACTACTGACACAACACTCCTTCTTATCCCCACCATTGCGTTTGCAGTCCCTCATGGCGCAACATATCTCATACCTGCAATAAAAACATACAAACATACAAACGACAATGTCAGTGACCCATTGACAATTAACAAAACTTGTGAAAGTATAGATTTGATAAAGATAAACACGCAGTTACAGTTTACTGTATTCAAATCGAAAATATCCTGAGAAGATCTAGGCCTAGTTTAAACTAGTTTAACGAAACTAGCTTACACAAAACGCTGGCTGAAAATTGCTGATACTATTTAAAAATGTCTCGAACTAGAGAGACTTTACACGTCAAAACTGAAAAAGCTACACAAAAAATATATGAAATGGAAAAATCTATTCATCGGATGCAAAAAGACATAGGCTACATAGTTTTGATTTTCTATGTAGGTTTATATTTTTCTTCAAATGTTGCTAATGTGTTTCCATATTAATTACTGTTCTTGTTCAAGTGCAGGAGAGACTCTTAAGTTAAGATGGCATATTACGACACACAGGTTGTAAATTCTTAAATCTTACGCAAATACAGGTTCTTCACATTGATCCGTGGCCGAATCCTTGCTAAGAACCATCATAGGTGGCGCCACTTTTGCAAAACAGGTTTCTATGTTGACATTGCATTGTGACGTACTCCCTTTGGTATCAGTATAGCACTGGCAATATGGGCTTATGTCAATTTGGCGGCAACTGCCCGTACAGTTCCTCATCTTACAACACACCGCAGTCCTGTAAAATTATAATAAATTAAAATACGCCAGGATGGGTCTCAGCCAATTACCCTAGAGTATTTTGGTGCATTAATTCAAGGTACATAGGCAACTGAACAGAAACTGGAAACATTATTTTACAGAGCATTATGGTTTCGTCATGAACTAAGCAGTGACACTTTTAGTATATTAATGACGTCATCAGTGCATTATGGTTTCATTAAGAACTGGACAATGTCAGTTTTATGAAGGATTGATTGTATATTTCATATTCAATAAAAAGTGTCATCTTTAATTAGATTTAAAAGCATCCATGCGTACTAACTCATCCTGATAATGTACTCGGGCTCCGTCTCTATTCATTATGTGTGTTGGTTAGTACATACACTCATGCTTTTAAATTTCCACTAAAGAAAGATACAAGATTCCTTAATCAAAAACTCTAAGACTGATGTTCAAAATTGTAAGAAAGGAAGTGCCTTATTATGTCCATAGTCTTTTTGACCAACATCGCAACCAAGCAACTAGAATTTGAAGACACTCCTTACCCTTTTCCTGCCCAAGAAATATTTCAATGAGACTCTCCAAAGCACCAGTTTTAAAACTTATAGGTGATTGGAACCATCTAAGCCAGACCTTTCGTGAAATTCAAATCATTTCTAGATTCAAAAGCTCTATCAAACAGATATTTATCCCTATCTCAAACTTCATACCAACTACAAAACTAAATTTAAGTAGAACCAAAGAAAAACTGCTAAATAGGCTTCGAGTTAATTTTGCCCTTAAAGACCATTTCTTTACTCATAACTTTACTGGAATAATTGACAACAAATGCCTCTGTGGCTCTATTGAAGACACAAAGCATTTCATTCTAACCTGCCCTCGCCATACCGTAACGTAATAAACGTAAATTGTAAATAACGTAATAAAATGATGACTGCACTTCGTGAACAAAATTTATTGTTTGATACTCAACTTATTTCTGGCAAGACAGAACAGGTCAAATATTTAATTTATGAAAATGAACTCACTATTGATTCTCAGAAAATCCTGATAGATATAGTGATGAAATTTGTACAGGCCTGTTATAAGTTTCCATCAAATTAATGTTATTCTCATTTGTATCTTGTGACATCCCCCCCCCTCCCTCCCAACCTCTCACATTACCTATAACCATCTATGATTACTGTAATTAATCCTCTATTGTAATTTAAACTACCTAGAATGCCTATGGCGATTGGTAGTAGATATTTTGTGTATTTTTTGATTATGAAGGAAATAAATATTATGCTAAAAAAAAATCCTTAATCATAATGAAGTCATATTCAATCAAAGGACCGGGAGTTGTATGTAAAATTAATTTGGGAAGTTTTTAATGCATTCCTTTTATGCTTTTAATCTAAAAAACATGAATACACTTAAAAACATTTTATTCACTATAAGATTACACAATATGATCCAAAAATATATTTCTCATTTTCATGGATAATCCACACAGATAAACACCCGGGTATTTTATTTCTAGAGCTTCACAGTGCTCAGAATCCTTGTAACGGGGTATTTGAACAACAAGAATGCTGTATTAAATAGGTTTTACTTATGCGGATACTTGGTTAAATTTTCTCAGTGGTACCAAATCTAAAACCCATAGAACCCATAAACCATAGTTTGGGTGAAAATATGTTAGCTGGCTGTCTGATCATGAAGTAAAATAGACTGGATGCGAGTAGAAATAATCTTGATTTACGTCATTATATATTCAAAATTCAGTCAAAGTAGTGATGTCATATTTTAAATCTACATGTAAAAGTACATCTCGAAATATGGTTTCGAAAATTGTTTATCAACTTTGAAAATTTAATTTTTTTGAAAATGTGACTTCTAGTTCGGGGAGATTCCGCATATTATAAAATCACAACGTGAAATATATTTTCTTGTATCGGACAGATAAGGTTTTCTTTTACTGGACATATTTTAATCTGCTTAATAACTATTAGATACATAAGGGTGATATGAAAATTGAACCACTAAAACTGATGAACATTTTAGTTACATGTAAATGGAACTTTCTACTATACCCGCCATGCTATCTGGTCCGAATGAGCCACCTGGTAGTGAAACTGGTAACTAATGCCTACTGGCATAAATAAAGATGTCAGTCAAATCTGGTTAAAAACAGGTTTACCACAAATGGCATAAGTGCATATAATATTTTGTTATTCAAAGACCTCGTATCAATGATTCCAAGCATTGTGAAGATCTCATATTATGATGATCAGATATCTTGATTTCCTAGATCACAAAATCAGAATTGTTAGGGAAACATTGGCATGCTTATTGAAACGATTGCTTTCACAACTCTTTGCTGCTAGTTGCTATTTTATACAGGGTAATGCAACCACACGTCAGGGTTGATTCCATTCTCCCCTGTGCTAAAGCCCCTGATGGGGTTTGAAATGTGCATACCTTGGGAATCTTCTGACGATCTTCATCAATATTGCCACATTGTCACATTGGCAATATTGATGAAGATCGTCAACGTATCAAAAGCGTGGGACTAAATATGTGAACTGCGTCTTCGTTAATATACCAAACATAGAACCGCCTGCATATTCTCATACTAAACTAGCTTCATTAACTTTGAGCCAAATTACTGTCCACAACTTGACTTATAACGAAGTGGTATAGAATCGAGAAATAAAAATATCTTACCGAAAACGAAGCCCGGGAGTTCTTCCATCTTGTTACGCTGACGTATCGTCAGCGTAACTAGATGAGTACCAGTGATGTTTGTATTTTTATTGGTTATGACTACGCTGCTAATGCTGAATATATATAATATGATAATACACTATTTTAATTTACTCCAGAGTATACTCACATATCCACATAATATGGAACGTTTACATCTTCATTCAGTCCTTTGCAAGTCGTCTTTGAGCAATGTGCATTTTCTGACCTGATTTTTCTTTTTCTTCTACCAAAAAAGAAACATTCAAAAGTTAACGTGAAAAGTCAGTCATCACAATTTCAGGAAAGTATGCTCTACAAGGACGAATGAACATTGCAGTTGCAATTTATATTGTATTGGACCTGGGGACTATTGATTTAATGTGTTTCAAGGTCGCAAACCCTGTAGAATCTGTAACAAAATTTGACAAGATACTTTTTTAATCCACAGTAACATTTTGCTCACTTAGCCTGGCTCTGTAGTACTGAGAATAATAGTACAATAACGTCATTTCAAAGGGCAATATAGTGAAATATTGGACCAAGGGCCGCAGGCTCAAGGTCCAATATTTCACTATTTTGCCCGCAGAAATGACGTTATTACTATTATTACCACCGTTAATGACCAGGGCTGAAATAGCAAATTTGAAATAGAAAATCTTACGCCCTGAAAGATATCACTTTTCCCGGGAAATATAGCCGGGCGGATAATGTCATTATTGCCCGACTAAAGTCATTAACGCCCGACACAATATTGCTCACGTCAATATAGCAATTTAAATGCCTTCTCAGCTAGTACTAAAACCCCTAGAACAGGCCCTGCAAGGTGGTAATAATACGCTTTATTCTTGGTGAGGATTCATGCTCAATTTTTCATTCCATGAACTGTAAACAAACGCACTTTATTGATGATAGACCGTTGTTGAGGCAATTATCGTTGACCATATAATATAGCAGAAAAAATATAACAGAGGAACAAAATATAACAATATATTCTATAAATAAAAAGTTAACATAATTCCGCAGATTTACTATTTTCTCCCTAAAATCTAGAGACCTTAATAGCAACTTGGCCTCACAAATAAGTATAATTATATAATATACCCTTTTTATGACATAGTGTAAAATACCAAATTGTTCGAAAATGTATAAACTCTAAAATGATAGTACTATGTAAGTCGATGTACCATATTGAACGTAATTATTTTTATCCTGATTTGAAGTTGGTTATTGTTTTTTTTGGCCCACCCTGTTATATTAATCACGTGCACCAGATAGACAGTAAGGCGCATCACATCCATTGTAGCATTACACAATCTTTATATTATTGTATAATTATTTTGAAATAGATTTTTATAAAGAATTTAATTATTTGATGATCTTCGTTCACATTCTGTCATTAACCGTTAAATCTTCAGAACAATTTTATATATTGATAGTTACCTTCTTGTGATAGCAGCTAGTCGTTCTCTGCCTCTTTGTACAATGTCTGGCTTGGTACCCCAACATTTGGAAAACGGCCATACATCAATGGGCGAACACACTCTGCATTTATTGATGGCGCAATAGATTGATGATCTTCAGAAAAATAATAATTTAATAGATTAATGTCTTAACGAACAACATTTTCAAAGAATGGGTATCGATATGGCGAACCTTTTGAACACACGTTTCTCTTAAACCAGTCATCAAAAATTTCTGAAAATCTTACAAATTGTCAATTTAATGGCCATCTTTTGAATGGTAACAATATAATTTGAAATAGATATACATACTTTCATCTATATTGTTTTAAAAACACATCAAATACTTGTTTTGTTCTTGGTATCATGTTTCCAGAGTGAAATGAAACATCTTTCCGAACCTCATTGGAACAAAACGACATAAACACAACATGTTTAGGTCTCTCAATATTGTAATTGTATAAAGGAAATTTTGGCTGATTTTAAAAAAGTATCTTGTTAATGAAATAAAATGTTTTTCTTGATTTCTATCTATTTTGGGGGATTTTGTTTTAATTTTTTGAATACTTTTTTTAAAATCAACCAAAAATTCCTTTGTATAACTTTAATATTGAGAGGTCTAAAACATGTTGTATTAATACTATTTTGTTCCAACAAGGTTCGTAAAGACATTTTATTTCATTCTCAAGAATTGGTAGAAAGGAGCAAAAACAATTGCATTAAAAAACAAAAATGTTAACAAAAACAGTTATATAAAATATTGCTAAATAATTTTCGCATTAAATTGTTGTCAATCAGTCAACATTAGATAAAATACCATGTTTTTTACAGAATGTTTTCAATGATTGGTTTAAGAGAAAAACACTGTTGAATTCAGTTCTCCATATCGATACCTATCCTTTCATGAACCATGCCGACCGGATGATCGACTTGCTAAATTGTAGTGCTTCGGTCTAATATGTTGAAATAAAAGTTTAAATAATATTTGATTGCAATACGTACAAACTGGTTAATTGGTTTTTATTGTTAACGATATTCATTTCAGTGGAGAACCTCATCCAGCATGGTTGTTTGTTATGTAGAATGGCTCTCTTGTTTCCGGAGTCGTCTGGGCAGTCGTAACAATAATCAAATGTATCTTTGTGACAACATTTTCCAACAAATGTTGCCTCAAACATTTGACAACAACATTCACTCCTGCAAACAACGTTAAGTAGAGCAATACTATGAAAACTGATCGTGTTATACCAGTTTGTATCGAACTTTTTGATAAACAACATAATTCACTCCAATGATCGTGCATGCCATACATGCATACTTATTAACGTACATTCTGACCTGTTAGAACGTGCGTAGTATAAGCATTCTTACTAAAACAAGCAGAGGTCATAAACAAATCTTTAAAAAGGAAGAACGTGTCTTTTATGAAGAAGCATCATAGACTGTGGACTACACTGATAATTGCAACTTCTTTCTTTCATGGAAGGTCACACATTCCAACATATTTCAAACAGTCTGTATGATTATGCTGGGCACTTTCTGGGTAGTTGGACTTCATGTAGGGGTGGCAGACGGCCCTCAGGTCAATTCATACCCCCACCCCAAGAAAACCTTGGGGGTACTTTAATACCACCTGATAAAAAGAATGCATGTCATACATTCATAGTTTTATAGTAGGCAGGGCATACCATGGTTAGTCAGTGCCAGAAATGTCCAATCTCTAACTTATATGGTTACCATGGAAACAGTATTTATATCTCAAAATCGTCTCAATTTGACCTCCAAAATATGTCCCTTCCTTCAAAGTGCAATATTTGCAAATTTGTTTGGATTTTGTGGCTATCACTTTGTCAAAAGTTGTATAAGTATGTATATATTCACACTAAAGCACTAAAAAGTTGATATAATGCTCCAATAAATCAATAATATTTATCAAATATAGTCACACACAACTAATTTTAGGGAAAAGTGGGCGTGGCACTTTTTGGTAGTTGTGTAATTGTTGCAGCATTAAGCGAAAAATACATATTACACTAACAATAATTGTCATTTAATTATCATTTACTAATATTGTGTAACATTGTAATATGTACATTATCATTATTAGATACTTAGGATATTTTATGTAAGTGTTATCATGAACTTTCCTTTTTATTATTAGACTCCAGATGTCAATCTGGAGTCTATTGTTTTTGCCAGTATTCTTCTTCTTATTATTATTATTTTTCTTTAAGAGTTTTTTCAATAACTATAAGGTATCCAGTAAAGACCATTATACAGTTCATTTAGGTTCAGTATCTAGTTGGTGGGAAATTGGGTCAAATTTTTATCTAGGTCAAAGGTCAAGAACTAGGTCAAATCCAGTACTTTGTCACTTTTTTCGATTTTCTCGGTCGTCCTTCAATATTTTTGATCCGGTTTTTTTTCATTGTGTTCCTCATAAAAAAGTAGAAAATCTAGGGTCGATTTAGTTTTTTGGTATCTCAAACCGATTTCGAGATATCAGTGTCCGAAAACGAGGTCCAAAAAAAGTTCTCCGAATCCAATGTCCAGGATATCAGTCTTATAGGAAATTTTCTCAGGATTCCGAATCTGAAAACCAAATTTCGATCAGACTTCCGGTTCAGAAGTTATGGCGTTTTGAAAATTCAAAAATCGCTAAATTTGGTGCCCCATGTTAATTCAATGGAAAAAAATATTTTTTTGAAGTGTAAAATACGAGATATAGACTAAGCACAGCTAAACATAATGGAAGCCCATAAAAGAAAGGGACCACAAGACCTTTTTTTCATAAATATTTGGACACCAAAATGCCTAGGTCAAAATCTAGGTCAAATTCAAAGTTTTTCCTTATTTTTGCGATTCTGACACTACAGATTAATTATATTCTTCAAAATTTTGTATACATGTAGCCAAGAGTGTGCTAATAGTGTTAGCCTTTTGCCGTCAGAAAGTATTTTGCCCCACTTTTGAGATATGGTGTCCGAAAAGTAGGTCAAAATAAAAAATTCTCCAAATTTAACGTTTGAGTTATGAATTAAGTATAGAATTTTCTCAGGAATCCGAATCTGCAAATCAAATTTCGATCCGACTTCCTGTTCGGAAGTTATGACATTTTGAAAGCTCAAAAATCGCTAAATTTGGTGCCCCATGTTATGTCAATGGGAAAAAAGATTTTTTTGAAGTGTAAAATTCGAGATATAGACTAAGTACAGCTTAAAATAATGAAAGCCTATGAAAGAAGGGGACCTCGAAGGCTACCTAACTTCAAAATTTGGACACCAAAATCCCCAGGTCAAAATCTAGGTCAAATTCATAGTTTTTCCTTATTTTTGCGATTCTGACACTATGTTTAAATGATTTGCTTCAAAATTTTGTATACAGGTAGGACAAAGTGTGCTTATAGTGTTAGCCTTTGCCGTCAGAAAGTATTTCTACCCACTTTTGAGATATGGTGTCCGAAAAGTAGGTCAAAATAAAAAGTTCTCCAAATTTAACATATGAGTTATGAATTAAGGGTAGAATTTTCTCAGGAATCCGAGTCTGCAAACCAAATTTCGATCCGACTTCCGATTCAAAAGTTATGGCGTTTTGAAATTTCGAGAAAAATCGATCTGATGGTATCCTGATAGAAAGTCAAGAGTAGAGAAGAAAATATTGAAAAATGCATCCATTCTTCCTTTGTGATCCTATCGTATCCTTCTTATCTACCTTTCCTTCATATCCTCTCCTTCCTATCCTTCCTATCTACCTTTCCTTCATATCCTCTCCTTCCTATCCTTCCTTTTCTATTCCCTCTTCATATTCTATTCTATCATTCTTTCTTATTCTATCCTATCGTTCCTTCCTATTCTAGCCTATCCTTCCTTCCTTTTTCATCCATCCATCCATCCATCTTTTTCTGGATGACTCAGCTTATTTTGGATGACTCGGCTTATTCTGGATGACTCGGCCAAAAAAAGTCTAGATCTGGAGTCTGAAATTGAACTTCGTTCAATTTCCAAAGTCTAGTTATTATGTTTATTTTCCCTCCAAGATAGGAGATAAATATATAATAATTAGGATACATAAATTGCATTGAAAGTATATAATAGTGAATGATATATATGAACATCAAGTATACGTAACTATACTGTATGTACTAATGTTATATAGCCAATATCGCAAATCACTACTCCCATGTTTGCGTAAAAAATCTAATAGATGAAATAGATCATATTGATTTTGAGTGATTTATGTGCGTGCCATTATCACCTCGATAAAAAGTTCTAGTTTAAAAGTTTCCTTCTCTTTGAAGATACATGTCTCGTATGTCACATGCAATATTTTTTAGTTCATTTGGACTTAAACGGTCATCTCCTCCGAAAATCAACATCATTTTCTCCTGTGTGGTCATAGGAGGATTCATACTGGAATAAGTGTTTACTATGGCCTCGATGCGTTTCCTATTAACAGCATTATTTGAACAAAATAAAGTGAAGTGTTCTACTGTTTCGACTTCATCTCCACAGAGCGGGCATAGCCTCTCTTGAAAAGGGATCCCTTCCCATTCACCAGTATTTACTCTCAAATTTCCCTGTCCCGTTAAAAGACGAACCATCAGCGCACATCTTCTCAAGTATCTTGGATCTTGTCTAGCGACCAAACACCATATAATAGGTTTTACATCCTGCACTATTCCTCTGTACAGTTTTAACTTTTGATACGTGGTCACTTCTCTCTTCCATCTGTTAAGGTCATAATCTCGGATTTTTGTGTACTATGCGTTTCCATAATGTCTTAGAAGGCATTTCTATAGAGTCCAACATGTCATATATGCAGTTTGTAATCCCGTACCGTTCGGCAAGGTTCATAATGTCATTTATCGGAGAAAGACTATTCAGCGGTCTAGATCCGACTCTGAATGCAACCATACGTTTAATAGCGATGCTTCTGTAAACAGATCCAAGGGTCATGGATAACACCTGTAGAAGAAACATCATCTTCATGATAATAATAGTTGTTGTAATGCTATGCCAGCCAAGTTGTGGTAGAATTGCAACATTCGGTGTGCTCACTGGGAGACCCTGTAATTTTTTCGCAATATTGCGGTGTCCCTGTTCCAAGACCTCATATTCAACGTCATTAAGGTGGACCAGTTCCATGCCAAAAGTCATCGAGGGGACGCTTACAGCCCAATATAATTTGGACGCAGTGAGTGGGTTTGTGGGGTCTGTGCAGCTTGTTGTCGTCCCAACGTATGCGTTAATGGACCTTCGAGCTCTAGAAATCCTGTCATCTACCAGCTCCCTGTTACTGTTACGGGCAGACAGGGGTAAGCCAACGTGTTGCGTAGACGTCACGACCGGTATCACGCTTTCTCCAATTTTTAGTTCAATGGGTGCGGTTGGGGTCTTCTTCTTTGTAAAGACAACCACTTGGCATTTTTTCGGATGGAATTTAATCCTCCAAAGTTTACTATATTCATGCATTGTGTCAAGAACAAATTGTACAGAGTTTTTATGGTATCCTATAATGACCATGTCGTCAGCATAGGTCGGACATGTACACACAATGTCACCTATCGTGCAGCCTTTTCCACAGTTGACAATATCAAGTATTAATCTATTCATGTATAACGAATGCAATTCCATAGAGTAAATACCCCCTTGGTGTACGCCTTGTGATATGTTGAATTTTTCGGAAAGAACACCATCTGAGCTACATCTAACTTCACATTTATAATCCATATAACATAAACGCAAAAGTCTCCATAGTTTTCCATTGACACCCAAGTTAAACATTTTGTACAACAGGCCTGCGTGCCACACACTGTCGAAACTTTTACGGATGTCAGATGACACAACAATAACGTCCTCACCATTTTCCAGTCCATGACTAATAGCTTCTCTTGCTAAGAAGGATGTATGAAGGCAGGATGTATGTTTCTTATTTGCGGCTTGCAAATCTGAGATCTTTTCGGATAACTTAACATTTTCACTTCTTGTAACCATTAGCTTTTCTAAGATTTTCATGTATGCAACTATCAAGGTGATGCCTCTGTGGTTGTCCTTATCAAGGTTATCTTTGTTTCCTCCTTTAAATATAGGAACTAATAGTCCAAGCTTAAAACTCTCAGGAATATATTCTACCTTAATAATTTGGTTAAATAGCTCTGTAAGCAACTGGAGCAGAACCCTACCTCCATGTTGAATGTGTTCTGCGCTTATCCCATCCCACCCTGTAGCTTTGTTCTTTGTCAGGGTGCTAATTAGCTTCTCCATTTCCTCAACACTTATAGGTTCAGCAAAAGAATTATCATCATTAAACACGCTCTCAAGTACCATTTCGTCTACTCTCTTGGAAACATACTGCTCATGATCCGAGTCATAGCTGTCATCATTTGTAGGGGATAAAAGTCGACTGAAATAGTCCATCCACTCACTCCTTATCGCTTGATCCTCAGTTAAAATTTCACCTGTGTCACTTCTAATTGCTGATGATGTACCACTTTTCCTTCTGCGTTGCTTAACTAGATACCAAAATCGTTTCATACTGATATCTGAAGCACCATCAATTTCATTCTGGCATTCAATTTCATACGCTACTTCAGCTCTTCTTAATTCTCTACGAAAGTCACGCTTTGCTGTCTTATAACATATCCAAGCATCATTTCCTGGATCTCTAGGTCTTCCTTGTTGTTTCCATATACGGAACGCTGATTTCTTATCATTCGACAGAACTTTCAGAACTTGTGACCAATAAGGTTTAAGATTTTATCCCTATACCATACAAGGTGGGCATCACCAATGGTGTCAAACTAACTTTTCTGTTTAACTTATTTTTACCACAGACAAGGGAAAAAGCTTTACTTGAAGTAGTGACCTCATTAGGTGCTATGTATATGGATAGATGGATTGATATTAGTCGGTAGATGGCAGCACTTGTGCTACAGTGTAGTTGGACTAGATACTAGCATATACCATTGACTTGACATTATGTCACTTAGTCTATTGATTTATCATATTCGTTCTGTTGGACTAAAGTAAAACTACATTTGCATTGAATTTGATGATGTTCAGATTGTGTTTGAAACATGATGATATCAGAAGGCCATTGTTCAGATTGTGTATACATGGACTTTAAAAGGACCACTGAAACAATAAGTCAATGTTTAAGATTCTTTAAAATTATCTCAATTAGAATTTAGCCTGTTAACCTATAGTTAAACTATACTTCAGTGAGATTTCGAAGCAATATAGCAAATCTCATCATTTGCAACTTTTTCATTATTTGATAATTTAACTCATTATTCTTTATTGCTGATTTAAAAATTGCAAGGAATTCAAATGACCTAGGGAAGCAAGTGATATGAATTGGCCTTATTCATCGAGTTTTACATTAAAATGGAAAATTGTGAAGAACAAGAGAAATGTTCCACAGCTTCACAGGAAATATGGAAGCAAAGTCAACAAGGGATGTGGGAACTAGGCTGTTCACATAGAGAGATTTAGAACTCTCCAGGGAAGTGTCTCTATTTGGTATAAAATACACAGGTCTATTCATGCACGCCATTTTAAATATGAATCAAAATTAGTGATATCCATGTTTCTGGTGAAAGCATCAATTGAAAGAGACAAACATCCTACCCCTATGGTATAAAATATAAGGAAGTTCGAAGCAGTAAAAAGGTATTACCATTTTAAATTTGATGATTGGATAAATTGAAAAGAAGGATGCGTTTCTAGAGCACTTCTACAGAATAGTCCACTGTCTATCAATGGCATCATCAATTATAAGATATGTGGGCGAAAAAGCATGTCTGAATGTTGTGTTTGTTGCATGAGCACTGGATTTATCCTTTGAAGGATTTTCACTGGCTGGAAATTCAACAAACCGATAATAGGCGTGTCATAATGCCATCTTTTTGCCATTTTAAATAATACCATCGTCTGCATCTTTTTATTGAACGACACCCTTTAGAGAAAATGGTTACTTTTGTTGATATCAAGTTTAATTCACATATGAATCATATAATATGAAGAATGAAGACAACGATCTTGTACATTTTGGAGTTTTTGGTTAAATAAATTGCTAAAAGATAAAGATTAGATTTTGACTTACAGATTAACCCAACCTTGCCCTGGTGGAGCTCCTTGTCCACCCCTAGCTTGCCCTGGTTGACCTGGTGCACTATAACATAATTTCGTGCTGTCCCTTGCTAGCTTGGTCTGAACAGCCATGATTCTCTCGTGGCTTTTTACCATGGATCCCGGGGGTCTGCTCTTCAGAGGGCGATATTTACCCAAGGCCTCTGCTTCCTCATTAGGCTTATTACAAGAACAAAATGGATCTTTGTGTGTGTAACAACATACTGCTGGATCGCCACATTTGCCGGAATTTTTCAGGCGTTCGCAACAACCGGAAGGATTGTATCTGAAAGAACGGATTCCGATGGTTATGGCTGTAATGGATCTCTGCTATCTCTTCTGTACATGGCTTGCTAATGTTTAGACCCGTTAAATAATGAAAATTCAGGTCTTTTATATCTAAGACGATTAAATGAAAATATCCAATGTAATTTCAATGTTACAGTGTATCGCATACCTTATACTAAAACAATATATATGTTTTATACCGTATATATATATACCGTGTGGTGTAACAATTTGTAAAAAGTACTTTATATAAGGAAATAAAGCTGAATTGAATTCAAAATAGCTTATTTTAATTATCAAAGCTATGAGAAAAAAGTCCCAGATAGTACATGGTGGTCCAAAATCGGGACACTCGTATTTAAAAAATAAACACTGATTTTATTTACGAAAACATGTCATATTACATGCCATTGGATGGGGAATTTAATTATAAGTTCAAATTTATTGTAATACATGTCACCCAGCGTCCCTTAAGGACAGAATTGTTGAGAAATGGAATTTATTATTTCGAAAGCATATCGATGATGCTACCAACCAGTTTATGCCAAGATTGAGGGCTATAATTGATCAAATGGTGTTCATTTTGAACATCTGTTTATGTTGACAGAAAATTTGGTTTTTGCAAGTTTTGAAAACCCGTTTTTGAAACGAAAATTACGTCATTTGTATTATGGACGCTGGTTGACAGGCATTATAATAAATTTTAACTTATGATATACCAAATTAAAGATAATTAAATTCCCCATTCACTGGTATGTAATATGATATGTTTTCATCAAAAAAATCTATTTTGAAATACGAGTGTCCCCTTTTTGGTCCACCCTGTATATACCGTTTAGGAGATCATGAGCATTTAGATGTGATTAAGTTAAGGATGTGTCATTATTTTTCAAGAGATCGTAAAAGGTTATATGAGCTTTGTCAGATTTTATGTATTTCCTCTTATATTGGTAATGTTCAATAGGTTTTTCGTGGCTTTCATTTTAAATGATAAAAGACTTGGTGTGGTATGGAGAATTTAAGACAGTCATATCTATCGCCATAACTATATTCTGACAATAAATGCAGCCTTTTTAATAAGCTATTAATAGAATTATATATTTTTCTTCGAAGTAAAAGTTCTCTTTTTCTAATAGAATATGTGATAAGTGATCCTTTTATTAACTTTCATATTTTATTGCCAGTCGTCATAAAAAGCGGCATACTTACTCATAAAAGAGTGGGGGTTTTAGCGCATATAGGGCGTAGTTTGTCGTCACTGGCAGCAACATGACCAGTGTAAGAGCTCCATGGAACATCTACGACGAAGAACACATTGAGCAATGTACATATTTTGTACTACTTCACATGTAATAAAGGATTTTCTCTATTTTAAGAGATTTGTTTATTAAACCTCTAATGACTTACCTCTCCTTCTTTTTAATAGTATATTTGTTTCAAATGGGTATCTTAATCCAGCAAGGAGCTTGTCACGGTTTCTTCTCTCTGAAGTTTTAAGCAATAATGTACTATTATTGTGATTTGATAAATGTCTCTCAAATCCTAAGGAAATGCTTAAAAGAGAGATTAGTGTCAATTCAAACCATTTACTGGGTGAGACAAAAAAGGTAACCCACGCAAAATAGTTCATTCACACATAACTAGGCAAGGTGTGTCCAATTCAAGCTATTTTACGTAACTGCATTCCGTTATATAACCAATAACAAACTCAAGGTCACTAGTTAAACGATTGTCATGGTGATGACTGGACTCTAGAGATTGCAACTGATACTTTGCCAGTTTGACCCATGAGAAAAGTTTCAATGAAAATATGTTCGTATCTTTTAGATGATTTTGTTGAAAATATTTATGTGTGAAAAGAATTTAAGCCCAAGGCCACAATTTTATGGCCATATACAATAAATCATGTAACTTCAAACTTTGTAAACTCATTATATAATTTGTTTTGCCAATTTATACCACATAAGCAAGTTAATATTCGAACAAGAGATCAACCATGGTTTAATAATGCCATCAAGCGAAGTATCAATAAGCGTGATAGACTTTATCGAAGGTTTAAGATAACTAATACTATTTCACACTTTGATTTGTATAAGGAGCAATGCTTAGTTGTTGAGCGCCAAATAGGCGAAGCGAAAGAAAACTTTGAAAATGATTTTTGTACCAAGCTTAATCAAAATACGGCAAATTCTAATGACTTCTGGCCAATGATTAATAAACTACTTGGGAAAAGGTTCAACAGTGCAATACCAGTTATTACTGAAGCAGTAACAAACCTTATTGGTGTTACCAGCCTTGAAAAAGCTAATATTTTTCATAGACATCTCATAAAGAAAATGAGAGTTGATAATGTTGTTAATTATCCTATTTTTCCAATGAGAACAAATCTAACTTTAGAAACTTTTCAAACTGACTCTAGTGAAATACTTAAACTGATTAAAGAACTGGAAAATGGCAAATCAAATGGCCCTGATAAGATATCGAATGAAATGCTTAAATTGTGTCCAGACGCAATGTCACTTCCTTTAACAAAATTATTTAACAAACTTCTGGTAGGCAATCATTTTCCTGACACCTGGAAAGAAGGTGATGTAAGCCTTATTCATAAGAAAGGTCCTAAGTCCAGATGTGAAAATTATAGACCAATTACGTTGCTGAATACCATTTCTAAAGTCTATGAAAGAGTTATCTATAACAAACTTAGCACTTACCTGATCTCCAATAACTTGATATATGAACGTCAGTCAGGATTCCTCAAAGGCCACAGTACCACACTTCAGCTAGTTTCAATTATTTATTATATTAATACTGAATTGAGTAAAGGAAACAATGTTCGTACTATTTTCCTAGATCTCGCGGCTGCGTTTGATACTGTTCCGCATAAACTACTTATTCATAAGCTCAGAAGTTATGGTTTTTGCAATAATCTTATAAAATTGATTAGTTCTTACCTCACAAATAGAAAAATTAGAGTTTCTATCAACGGCTCCTCAACCGAATATTCAAATCATGATGATATAAATGCAGGTGTTCCCCAGGGATCAATCCTGGGACCTTTGCTCTTTCTCTTATACATTAATGATTTGCCAGACAATTTAAACTCAAGAAGCTACATTTATGCCGACGATACGTCCATTTACTTCACCTATATGAAACATTCTCCAAATAACAGCAGACTTCTTCAAAATGACTTAAACTCCCTTGAACAATGGTCTCAGTTATGGAAAATGCACTTTAAAGCTGTGAAGAGCAGAGATTTGACCTTTAGAACAATAGGAACTCCAAAGCCAGTTCACCAACCTTTGACCCTCTCAAATCAAAACATTCCTATAGTTGATAGCCACAAACACATAGGTTTTCACTTGGACGACACACTTTCGTATGAAGTTCACGTAGGTTGAAGATCACAGTAGAGTTTCCCATAGGTGGCCATTATAACATTTTACCCTGTATCTTATTAACGATTAGTATCCAAGCCTAGTGCAACATACCACAGTGTTCGGGAGAGACTCGCCTAGCCTGCTATAACAATCTTACCATGGGTTGTCCACCGAATTTTTGAAATAAATAAACTTGAAGACACTAACCCCCTCTATCGTCAGATTTCTCAGAGAATTCTGGTAAAATCACCAAGGTCAAAATCACTCCGCCGCCAGCTTAAAATGAGATTTCCCACTGAACTCTGACATGTTTTCAGATAAATTAGGACCTACCCTATAAATATTTATTCCCGATTCACTTCCCAAACGCTAGATGGCGCTCCAATGGGGTAGGGAAGGAGAAAATGACTTTTTATTCAGAAAACCAAATCACTAACGGTAACCGCTAATGTCCTTACTCAGGACTATATCCTAATAGTAAACTGAATTAGTTTGTTTTCTTCCAACATGGTTATATTAGCATTGTAGGCATTATCCCGATCACAATGGTATATAACAATCCTATATTTGAGAAAAAGCACGGAGGAAAATTCAATCCTTATAGACACAGGTCCTTTTAGCAAAATTCAGGAAATTTGATTTTGAGATTTCTTGAAATTTCTTTGGGGTAGGGGTACACCTTACAGATTGCACCACAGATTGAGTACACCCAACTGAGGTGAACATGGCCATATGGGGTATCATTGGAAAGCGATTTCTACTATCTTTCAAATGATATCCATGCCAAGGCGTTCAATTGCATCGTATGACGTCATATTGGTAGGAAGAAACAAAGGTTCATTCAAAACTGCCCCGAAAACAATTGAATGGCACGGGAGAATGGAATTCGGGGTACTTGGCACAGTGGCCTCGCCCCCAAAACACCAAAATTGCTTCAAAATGTCACGATTTTGGTAGCATTGTTCAGCTAAGATACAGCCCTTTAATATGATATGCGCTATTAGGCTTCTCAATGAACTAAAAAACCTCAAAAAGGGATAAAACCTTCAAAATGCCCCAAAAAAGCGCCTTCTAATAGTAAACTGAATTAGTTTGTTTTCTTCCAACATGGTTATATTAGCATTGTAGGCATTATCCCGATCACAATGGTATATAACAATCCTATATTTGAGAAAAAGCACGGAGGAAAATTCAATCCTTATAGACACAGGTCCTTTTAGCAAAATTCAGGAAATTTGATTTTGAGATTTCTTGAAATTTCTTTGGGGTAGGGGTACACCTTACAGATTGCACCACAGATTGAGTACACCCAACTGAGGTGAACATGGCCATATGGGGTATCATTGGAAAGCGATTTCTACTATCTTTCAAGTGATATCCATGCCAAGGCGTTCAATTGCATCGTATGACGTCATATTGGTAGGAAGAAACAAAGGTTCATTCAAAACTGCCCCGAAAACAATTGAATGGCACGGGAGAATGGAATTCGGGGTACTTGGCACAGTGGCCTCGCCCCCAAAACACCAAAATTGCTTCAAAATGTCACGATTTTGGTAGCATTGTTCAGCTAAGATACAGCCCTTTAATATGATATGCGCTATTAGGCTTCTCAATGAACTAAAAAACCTCAAAAAGGGATAAAACCTTCAAAATGCCCCAAAAAAGCGCCTTCTAATAGGTTGAAGATCACAGTAGAGTTTCCCATAGGTGGCCATTATAACATTTTACCCTGTATCTTATTAACGATTAGTATCCAAGCCTAGTGCAACATACCACAGTGTTCGGGAGAGACTCGCCTAGCCTGCTATAACAATCTTACCATGGGTTGTCCACCGAATTTTTGAAATAAATAAACTTGAAGACACTAACCCCCTCTATCGTCAGATTTCTCAGAGAATTCTGGTAAAATCACCAAGGTCAAAATCACTCCGCCGCCAGCTTAAAATGAGATTTCCCACTGAACTCTGACATGTTTTCAGATAAATTAGGACCTACCCTATAAATATTTATTCCCGATTCACTTCCCAAACGCTAGATGGCGCTCCAATGGGGTAGGGAAGGAGAAAATGACTTTTTATTCAGAAAACCAAATCACTAACGGTAACCGCTAATGTCCTTACTCAGGACTATATCCTAATAGTAAACTGAATTAGTTTGTTTTCTTCCAACATGGTTATATTAGCATTGTAGGCATTATCCCGATCACAATGGTATATAACAATCCTATATTTGAGAAAAAGCACGGAGGAAAATTCAATCCTTATAGACACAGGTCCTTTTAGCAAAATTCAGGAAATTTGATTTTGAGATTTCTTGAAATTTCTTTGGGGTAGGGGTACACCTTACAGATTGCACCACAGATTGAGTACACCCAACTGAGGTGAACATGGCCATATGGGGTATCATTGGAAAGCGATTTCTACTATCTTTCAAGTGATATCCATGCCAAGGCGTTCAATTGCATCGTATGACGTCATATTGGTAGGAAGAAACAAAGGTTCATTCAAAACTGCCCCGAAAACAATTGAATGGCACGGGAGAATGGAATTCGGGGTACTTGGCACAGTGGCCTCGCCCCCAAAACACCAAAATTGCTTCAAAATGTCACGATTTTGGTAGCATTGTTCAGCTAAGATACAGCCCTTTAATATGATATGCGCTATTAGGCTTCTCAATGAACTAAAAAACCTCAAAAAGGGATAAAACCTTCAAAATGCCCCAAAAAAGCGCCTTCTAATAGGTTGAAGATCACAGTAGAGTTTCCCATAGGTGGCCATTATAACATTTTACCCTGTATCTTATTAACGATTAGTATCCAAGCCTAGTGCAACATACCACAGTGTTCGGGAGAGACTCGCCTAGCCTGCTATAACAATCTTACCATGGGTTGTCCACCGAATTTTTGAAATAAATAAACTTGAAGACACTAACCCCCTCTACCGTCAGATTTCTCAGAGAATTCTGGTAAAATCACCAAGGTCAAAATCACTCCGCCGCCAGCTTAAAATGAGATTTCCCACTGAACTCTGACATGTTTTCAGATAAATTAGGACCTACCCTATAAATATTTATTCCCGATTCACTTCCCAAACGCTAGATGGCGCT